GAGCACGTCCCTCCCAAACGCAGCTGGCAGAGCTAGTAGCTGTGAGGTCGTGTAATGTGCACTAGCTACCTCTACGCTACGGATCTCGAGTCCATTTATCATCCGATTCCTACGCGGCACGCGCAATAAACCATGAAACCCTCTGCAAGCACAACACCAGTCGACCAGTTCACCAGTCACGCACAATCGGACATCCGGATAGAGTAAATCTTTGAAATTCAGATGAGAGGGAACTGGCATGCGAGAGTCTGTGTAAGTATCTTGGCAGCTCAACCCTAATCCTCACCAAGGGTTCCCAGCTTGCAAGGCGTGTCCATCGAGTCCATGTCAACTGTCGACCTTTTTCAAACTTGCTGAGGAGTCGGATATGCCAAACGAAACACTAACATCAGAATCACCAATATAAGGTGCTATCATCAGCCAGAATCAGGATGTTACGCGGTAACTGACCAGGTCATACTTTTATTGTTGCTACCCATGCTCATACAATCTCTACTGGTCTTGAACCATCTAAACAATGAGGTTGCCCTTGCGATCTCATATTACCCAAGATGCTTCTACAGACGGGTACGCACACATGCCAGGAACGGTTGAACTTGATTGTTTGTAAAGCGCGTTGAGCTCGGGCCTCGTGGTTATAAGGGTCGGTCGCATCGAGTTTTTCGAGGGTTGGTTAAGTGACTGATTTCGCGAGTTTGCTGCGCACTTTTCATTACATGTGTCTGTGTCATCATCGATTGCAAAGCTCACATATCTGCGCATAGGTATGCATCGAGCCTGGACTGGACCTGTCGGTTATGATCGCTATCATCAAAAGGCATACAACATAGTCAGTACGTTCGAGGACACTCGGGCCTCACCGCCATGCATGGGTAGTATTAAATATTCGACGCCTGCTTCAATCTACGTAGGCTGCATGCCCCGTCGGTTGCCATCATGTCGTGATAGTACCCGGGTGTGTTTTCCCCCTTGTACCAGGCTACAGCACAGTGAAATAGCCGCGAGCTCACGGCTGGAGAATGACAGATGAGAAGGCTTGAGGCTGGCCTGTCACGTCCTCGTCGTGACTTCTTTCGCGGTTGAATGGACGTTGGTGGAGGAGCCTGCTCAACAAGCCAGCCAAGCCCGTTTCCTGTTTGCATGAAATGGGCATTTCGGGTGGTTGCACTGAAAAGAATGGCGCTCCTGTGGACGGACTGCCATTCACACGCCGTGGGTTCTTGGACAGGGGTAGCGGAGGCGCTGTTGTGGTACTTGAGATTGGCGAGAGATTGAAACTTGTCCTCTTGAGGAAGGTTTCGAGAAGGCTTCCAGAAGCCCCATGATTTCCGCTTGTTTTGGATGATGCACCTCGCCTCGCGGCAATCCATGGTGGCTCTTGATGCAAGTCGCATCCATCTTCTCACGCAGCCATTGTAGCTACTGCCTAGAAACCCTTTCCATCACAGATTAGTGCCAAGATGAGGTGGGTATCGCATCTAGATGAGAGAAGTTGAAACGATGAAAGAAAATGATCAAAGGAGATGACACACAATACAGGAACAAATCAGACATAGCGGCCTCTGATCGACACCACGATGAATCTTGAAATGAGCCCCAAATAGTATCTGGGTAACTGACAAGCACGCCTGGATCCATGGAAACGTGGAGGGCGGCAGTTCGGAACCAGGCAAGCCATGCACCCAGGACCGGGCGAGATTACCAGGGCAGGCCGACGTTCTAGGGGGGCACATGGACAGGCACACGGGGCACAGAACGTTTCGAAAAGCTTCCAGTGGTCGATGATCGTTCTTTCAGGTGGGCCCCTGATTCATGCCACACAAGATGGATGCCCACCCAATTCTGTCAACTCTGGGCAAAGCTCCATTCTCCAACCAATTTCCTGTTACCGTCAGCTGAGAAAACCAACGTTACAAAGAACCCACGCTAGATAGTCAATAATAATTAGAATCTCACACAATCGATCGAGACAGCCAATGGATGCCGTAGTTTCTCACCGCCGCGTGACATTAACACAAATGTAGAACAGGTTGGAAAGATCATGATAGCCGGCCACACGCCTTTCGTACTTTCCGCAACCCAAAGTCGCAGGAAGAATGGTTCATATCGTCAAATATTTGGTAGCCTAGTCATCAAAGACGGTTCAACGGACGTTGTCAGTGGGTTGGACACGGAGATGTTTCGGCAAGCGGCATGAGGTATTGCTGTTTTAGTGTTATAGATGTGTTAGTAGGTAGAACCCCGCCCTCAAGTCTCAGATGACCCAACCTTCTCTGATGAAACGGTACATCAGATGCTGATCTGCCGCATGGGAAAATCAACACCCAACCACGCTCCTTTTCCCTTTTAGATGAATCGTTCGTGATGCTTCCCACGAGCGATCGCTAGTTCTTTTCCCCATTGTATGGGCTCAGACCAGCTATTCCTGCCGGCCGCCAGAAGCTGGAGAACAGCATGCGTGCCCCACTATTTTAGAGGGCCAGAATCTGGCTGACCATTTCCACATTTCCAGAGCTGGGTTTTCGCGCGTCGGGAGCTTCGACGACAACATACACTCGGGGCATTTCATTGATACACAAACTATCGGTCTGGGAGACATGGAACTCATTTAGCGGTGAACAACCCATTTTCTGTCTATGAAGCCATCTCAACATGGTCTTTAGGTAGGAGTATGATTCTGTCGCATGAACCCCCTTCTCCCTTGACAGTTCGCTGAGTTCAACACTACAACCATCGCATGGGTTCAATTCCATACCCGTCACCACTCACAATATCATCGGTGACCTGTAACCTATGTCAGAAGTTTCGGTCAGAAAATGATTCGTACCGACAGATTCGGGGTTTGAACACCCCTTTTCGAAGGCTTCAACCCCGATCGACATGCCAAGATCCGTTACCGATTGCGCCGAAGCATGGTATGTGAAAAGCAGTGCTGAATCACTCGTATCCAGATTGTCGGTATCGCCGAAGCTGGGGGAGAAGAGAAGTCAGTTTCCCGCTTTTCACTTTCTGATATGGCTAAAAATAGAGAGTCTCAAAGAGATGTGGTGAGATTCCCAAATGTCTGTTTGGCTGGCATTCCCCAACGTTTTAACGCCGACACGGACACTTCGTTTCACGACTGCCGAGATATTGCGGATCTGGACGAGCCCCGGCCCGGGCCCACCTGTCATCACTTTGTCGACCGCTCGACCACGTTCTCGCTTTCCACGCTCTCCCCCCGGCCACCGACAGGGTCCCGACTGGTCCGACGACCGAGAAACTAACTAAATGGTCCGTGACATCCGTGACCGACCACGTTCGACATGCGGAACAGTGTTTTGGTCGGTACGTCATTTCTCGAACTCCTAAAAAGGGGAACCACGATACCACACCGCAATCCCGGAGCCCGGCATGGATCTTTTTTTGAGACTGACCACACTACACTACCCACTGAAGTGCGGTGCCATGTGGCATCTTGAATCACAATAATTCTCCGAAATGACACGGATTGCTTCCGTTTTCGTTAGACCATACACTGCAGCGGTGCGACGAAAGAGAGCTTGAAATAGGGGATGCGAACATCCAGGCTCATTTGGATCGACCTCGACCATTTGTTTCATTCTCACCACGAAACATGAGCTTTAGGCAAGCTTTCTTTGAAGTTTAGGTAATGAGGTCGCTAACCACATATGTCGTGCTCTATCTCCTTATGACAAAGTGACGTCATGCTCGGATTGAAGAGAGCGCCAGATGGTAGTATTTGGTCGACTCGCTACCTAGCGTCACGGTAGGTGTTCCTCAGCAAAAGAGGTTCAGATCCGAGACGGGAGTTATCGCGATGGGAGGTCGCTCCTTCCCTGTCTAGGGGTATCTAACTCAGGTACCTCCAAGTAGTCAGTGCTGGGGCACCTCGACCATGCTATTTGGATGGTACTTTCCAGTGGAAGGTACTGCTGTAGTGATACGTAGGCTGCACAGGGTGAGAGCAAGTATCGCACAAGCATCACTCTCTAACAGTCGAGTGGGAGACTGGTGATCGAGAAGAGTGGTGTAGTGCACCAGTCCCAATGATCGATACGAGCGATCTTGGTTGATGCACCAATCGTTTCGCAAGTTTCGTTTTCTGTACATCTTGGTGATTATGGAAGCCTTGTGGGTAGCGAGGTCATCCATCTAAATTTTTATTTCGTTCTTTTTGAGGTTAAACAAGCCAAGGTGTTCCCGAGTCAAACTCCATGGGGTCTTTGGGCGAGAGGAAAGGTCTGAGATCGCAAAGTAGGTAAGTGCTGTACGTGCGATGTACAGAGTTCAGTTGGGAAGGAACAGGATGACCACATCATTGATCTCATATCATCGGGGGACGAGCGGGATCGCGAGAGGTATAGTAGTAGTGGTAGTGGCAGCACGCAATTCATCATGGGAGGTCGAATCTGGGTCGACCCTTCCGTCTTTTGATAATATTCGATGTTAGGAAGGTGCTCTCGTCCTAATGACTTCCCAGACTACCTACCTACCTAGGTAGGTACCTACCTTCCACCGACTCAAGCATTGTCAACGAACACTAGAGGTACTTACCTAATCTTCGCCTTCAAAGAAACCTGGAAGGTACGAAGGGAGTAAGTCTGAAAGACTAAGCAGTCGCCGACTTGGCTGGTAAGGAGCATTTGATGCAGCCTCTTCGTTCCCACGCACTTGCCTTGTGACCCAACTGTGACTGGGAACAAGTGGAAGTACCGGGATCACACCAGAACTTCAATTTTCTACCTGACATCCATCATCATTCATTCCCCAGTTGTTTCTCTGTTCTCACGGTTGCTTCCAAGAAACTGTCCTGGCTCCACGGCTTCATAGTATTTCGAGCTCTACCATACGTTCTGTTCTTGTAGCACTCCTCATTCGTTATACTCGGCCTCATCTCCACCACTATTCCTGCTGTTGGGCCCAATATTGTCCGATATCCTCCCTTTCACCACCTTCGCGATCGATTACAATGCTCGAGTTACGCCAAGCTGTCTAACATGGATCATCCACCTCGCACGAGACCCTTCAACTTTGAGAACTCGGAGGACAATGCACCCGTCGGACCAAAAAGCTATCAACATGCGCAACTCGACAGCGGTAATCTGATACCATACTCCGGTACAACGAGCCCCAACTCAGAACAAAACGCTGCATACCAGGACAAATCACAGACGTCACAAGATGTCATTCAAGAGACGCCCAGGAGCTTGCCACTTGCTCCCGAGGAGATGGGGCTGATCGAAAGACCAAAGATGAGAAAGACTTTCGAACTTGACCAAGAATTCGAGTTCGGTCCTCCGCTCCAGATCAACCCAGGACAATTCACGAAGCAGTTAAAGAATCCTATACCACTCTATCAGAGTACTCAATCACCAGCTGTGACTTCCCAGCCATCTAGCAAAGACAGCAAACCTCGACAACTCCCATTTCCTCTACAAGAACCAGGGCCAGGGAGGCCAATCGAGGAGAGGACTAGCAACAATGTTGTCTCTGCACGCGACCGGCTCCCTCCTGAGACAACAGACCATCCGAGCTCCGTCATTTTCCATGAACACGAAGCGCAAGACACTGAACAACATCCGAAACGGACGGTTGACACTCGTCCTCCACCAAGGGGACCTCCTTCTGTAGATGCGTCCCCACCGTCCGCCCAAAGACCTTCAAAGGTCGCATTGCCCCTATCAGGGCCACACATCAGTGTAGCGCGTGTGAAGACTAGTCGGCATTTTACGTCAGACCAGGAACCGGGTGACTCCCGCTCACAAACCAACCATCGAGCCTCTGCCGTCAATGCCTCAAGACCCTTACAACAACACAGAAATCATGCCGCAACTGTTAACGCAGTAGATATCAGCAGTGATCGTCATCAGTTTTCGGCATTCAATGAGACAGGGATTGCCCTTGATGGGGAGTATCATTCTGAGAAAAGGGACGGCCAGTCAAAAGATCAGTCTTCACCCTCGAGCACTACCATGAGACACAATGTCAGACTGTCACATACTGACACGTCTCACCACCAAGACATTCACATGAGCGACTATAGTCATTCCGGTTACCCTGAGACCGAGGACGTTGTCAACGTGGAGTCTAGAGGGGCACATGTCAGATCTATCGACTACCCTGCCAGTCGGCAGCCCAAAAGCACTAGCTCACACTTTGAGTCTCTCCATCAGGAAGAACCGTCCAACAAAAGCCGCCAAAAGTCCCACACATCACATGATGTCTTGAACGCGAACACCGTTGGCTCAGGCAAACCATCCAAACAAGGAGCTGGAAAGGCGCACTCTTCTTCGAAGCCTCAAGCTTTTTCTCCAATCCGTCGCCGGGCAGCTGCATCGGCCGCTCGCTTGCACAACCAGCACACGTCGAGGGATCCTAAAACTGCATACGAACAGAATTCTCGGCCACATTTGGAAGGCTCAAATGTGTCCAGGAGAAGGGCAGCCGTCTCCACAACTGCGAGGTCGGATATAATTGATATCACGAGTACACCCGGCAGCGAGATAATAAGATCGAGCCCGGCCAACAACAACATGAGCGTCAAGATCAGCCAAGAATTTACAAAAGATCTGGCTGGGGTTCTCAACCGATTCACTACTCAGCACAACTCCACCAGGCAGGAACTGAGGGAGAGGTATCACAAGTACATCAAGCAGCTCAAGAAAGTAATCAAGAAGCGTGAACATGAGGCCGAGGAATACATTGCTCGGGTTGAGGGGCAAGCCAGCGATATCCAAAATCTTGAGCACTCCAATGGTGAAAAGACCCAGAAAATTGAAGAGCTCGAACATTCCAAAGGGGAAATGGCCAAGAAGATCACAGAGATGGAGGCAGTGCTTGAAGCTACCGCAAAGCGAGGCTCAAAGGCAGAAGGGAAATATCGCAAAGTCAAAGACCACTTGAATGCAGCGATTGAGGAACAACAAAAGCTATACCTCATGTCTAAGTCGCAGTGGGAGAAGGCTATCAGGGAGGTTCGGGAGACCGAACGCAGTCATGGTTCTGCCTTGGAAGAGATGCTACAGAAAACAGAGATAATAAGGCAACAAATGCTTGAAAAAGTTCGCCAGACAGTAGGTCAATGTAGACAGGACACCTCGAAATGTAGGTAAGGTTTGCGTTGCTCGAGCGACAAATTCTGACGGATTCCTTAGTGTACGGCCAGATCGACGCCCTTACACGCCAGATAGAGCAAAAAGACGCCGAACTGAGCCACGAAAAGAAAGCTGTGAAAATGCTTTCACAGCAGCTTGAAACCCTTAAGATCACCAATGAAGGCTTCGAAGCGCTCCGGTCTCGGCAAAATGACATTATGGGCAAGATGGACGAACAAAACGCACAGGCAATCCAGAGACAAGTAAAAGCCGACGACGCAATCGGGACCCGGTGAGTATTTCAGATGGAACCTTACATCTACTTGGGCTAATTTCGATAGACTGGGTCAGATTGCCGAACAAGTTGGGTCTGTTTCCAAAACGGTGTCAGAGCAGCCTCAAGTGCTGTCAACTCTACAGAGCCAGCAACAAGGGATATTGGAGCTGTAAGCATATTCGATAGCCATCAATTGCCTGTGTACTGACGTCCTTAGTATCACGTCAAAGCTTGAGGCTGTCATGGAGGCTTCCGGCACTACCGAGAAAACGACCACCCAAATCTCGGATGACATCAAGGCCAATATGGAAAAGATTTTGAGACATTTAGGCCACGAGAAGGACCTTCTGAGTCAACAGTTGAACCAAAATCTCACGGAAGTTGGCAGGCTTTCTGGTTGCATTGCCGAGAAGGAAGAGGCGCTCAAAAATTGCCAGCAGGAGTTCAAAGACATGAAGAAACGCTTCGAGGACCAACAAATTCACTTCAGTCAACTTCAAGCGCATGCTGTGGAGTTGGAAGTCGCTCATGAGGACAACCAACCGCTCAATCAACAACTCCAACGCGCCCAAGCAGAAATCGAGCGGTTGGAAGCAGAGGTTAGCTCTCGAACAGCAGCGATTTCGCAACTCGAGAAAACAATCCGATCAAAGGAAGAAGTATACGTCTTTGAGGTCAAGCAGTTTGGCTCACAAGTCCAACAACTCAATCAACTGATCATGGACAAAGAAGCGACCATCCAGTCAGCAAGCGCCAAAGCTACGGAGCTTGTCCGTCGGGAACTCCTTGTAGAAAGGGACAGGGAGACTGCTGAACTAAATAAGACGATCTCCCAGTTGCGCAGCGACAGGAACACCTTGGACGACCTAGTGACGCAACTTCGACAAGAGAGAGCCAGCGAGGAAGAAGCCAAAAGGCAGAATGCTCGTACAATCGAGCTTTTGAAGGCTAATCTGGCTATTTCTGAGAACCAGTGCTCATCTCTTGCTAAAGAATTGAAGACAAGATCGGACGATCTCGCCGAGTCTCGTCATCAGAGATCTACTCGAATCAGCGGTTTGGAGGCAGATCTCGCTGTTTGGCAGAAGAAGGCAGCCGAGCTTGAAGCAAACTACACCGGGCTGCAAGAGACTGAAAGACGGCATACCAATGAGATCGAGTCTTTGAAAGTTACGCTTGCTGCTGCGGAAAGTAAATGCTCATCACTTTCTGAGGAGTTGGAGGCGAAGTCACTCGAACTCGAACAATTCCAGCAACGGGGCTCTTCTCGTATCATCGACCTGGAGAAAGAGCTTGCCAGTTGGCAGAAGACAGCAGCCGAACTTCAAGCAACATATTCGGAAGTACAGCAGATCGAGAAAACACGCGAGGAAAAGATGCAGGAGTGCTTTGCTACCATGGAGCAACTGGCAGTAAAGGAAGGATTTGTTGCTTCAGATGCTGGAAGCTCAAAACTGTTCGATAGCGCTACAACGTTGGATGAGGTATGGTCAAAGATTCCCAAGGCTGTAGAGCAAATGATGAAGATGGCATCAACGAAATATCAGGCCATTCTCGACAAGCAGCACCAACAGCTCCAAGCACTAGGTGGAGTTGCCGATCAAAAAGGAGCGCCAGCAAGTGAACTGCAGGCATTATTTGTCAATGCATGGAACAAGATCGGAATAAACCCACTGCAAGAAAGCAAATGTGGCGATCCAGATGGAGTCAGTGGCACGACAACAACTCCATCAAACACGGAGGAGACATCATCCCCGTTCCTACAACATCGTGTGGTCATGGGCCTTCAGGATCAAGACCGGAGGGTTGCTGTGCGACGGCCAACATCTACGGAAGGTATACGCAAAGTCCGTTTGCCTCCACCGCCCTCTGTTGCCCAGGAAAAGTCAAGGAGGAGAGAAGCTGCACCTCCTAAATCGATCATGAAGAGAATGACGCGTAGTGCATCTCGGGAACAATTGATAGACAATTCTTCGGGGAGTGGTGCGTTTGGGAGAATCGGACCACTTGAAACCTTCACAGCAACTCCCCCTGAAAGTACGGGTGCTTTGTTGGAGCCAAATCCCGTGTCTCATGAAGTTACGTCCGGCCACTTTTCAGATGCCTCTGCTTCAGGAAGACCTAACAAGCGAAAACAACCTGATGATATCGTGGATTCTCCTGTAGTTCTTCGGCGCGGGAGATACTCGAAAGGGGCCGGGGGAAAGGGTACGACCAAAGACATAACTTCTACCGCAGCTTCAGCACCGCTTCCTAACGGCTCAGATGAACGTGGAAGTCGCGGAATAGTACGACCACAACGGATTTATCGAAGCCGTCACGCCGTGGATAAGTTAAGCGAAGGCTCCAAGCTATCTGAAAACGGATTGATTTCCATCAACTTCAAGCCTTCATTTGGCCTCGTACCCGAGGTCATGAACGGTGCCAACAGGTTTTTGCCACCCAGATCAGCACCGACTCGAACTTATGGTAGTAGAAGGTCCGTTGATCCTACGGAAGACAGCAGCACGGTCAGTCAAACGAACGGCGAGTCCCAATCACGGTCTCAGTCCCAGCCACTTTCGCGATACGGGGGCGCCAATGATGAGACCCAAGACTCCATGACCCTCTCGCAGAATGCAAACAAAGAAGACGGAGATGACTTGCTTCTGCCTCCGCCTGGGAATAAGTTATGATCCATACGTCGATGCATGGCGTATTTGTGTGGATTGGAGACTGTGTTTCGAATGAATCGAGATTCAATATGTATACGACGAGAAGAATGTGAAAGAATCCCTGTGAAATGTTGGGAGACGGGTCTTGTGACAAATCAAACGAAAAGTTTGATTTCCACGTAAATATAGAAAGATAAAACGATGTACGATGGCAAGAAAAGTCAAAGATGTCGAGATGTCATGACAGACTGTCTGATCGTGATAGAAGAGTTATCCTGACCACATAACACCAGAGAAGGGGGAGCCACTTGGCAGTGAACCTGGGTCACGCCCAGCATTGCCGACGGCCGAGGGGCGTTGTGCTTATGTCTTGACTTGTTCATTTTCTAATCAACCTGGCCCATCGGTAGAGCGAAGAAGCAACGAACCCTCCATGGTGCCAATCCATAACTCACAGGGTGATGTTATATACTGATGGATCGGTAGTACAGTAATAATACACGACCATAGACTGGACGGAACGAGGGACCCCATCTTATTCTTGCGCCTCTCTTCTCCATATATCCAGTCCAGTTCCGGTCCGGTCCACCCCCCTCTCCAGCTCCAGCTCCAACTCACTCGCCAGCACTGGTCATTGTCTGCTGGTGATCTGCTTGAAACACAACCCGGTCGAAATCGTAACTTGGTGTGACGTGGTAGTCCGTGGAGGGGGTGCTGTAACCTTTTACTTGTCGCTGCTTCGCCGCTACGCTCTTTGGTTCCGTATCGCAGGCTCCGCGTTCTCGCTCTGGCTCTCGTTCGTTCGACGGTCGTTAGGCCGGGGGGCGAGTAACGATCTATGACCTGCCCTTGCGTTTCTGTTCGAGGAAGAGGACCTTGCGGCGAACTATGGTGGGGAAGCGAAAGTGTTAGTTGGTATTTCTTCCTCTTCGAGATCCGTGATTGGGAATATTGTCTGTCGTAGGCGAGAGTTTCTTCCGTCCCCTCCTCTCTTCCCTGGTGGCTGGTTGGTTGGCTGGTTGCTTTTTTTTTTCTTTTTTCCGAAGGTCCGTCCGTACGTTATGCCGTCGTCCGAGTCTTTGAACTATTGCGTCCCAGATCTAATCCCAGTCCTAGTCCTAGTCCCAGTCCCAAGCGAGCTTCCCAAGGTCCGTTCGACGAAGCGTATTGGGGTGTTTCGAATCGTGCAAGTCGAGAAAGCCCGCAACCAAAAAGAGTTCCATATCATGCCCGTGTCGTCGTGTCCGCCGGATCAATCATGTAGGCGTTCGGAGGCGGGAGAGGTAGATAGGAATGAGGGGAGAGGATATGCGCATACCGATCGGATCGTATTTCAGCATGCTCATGGGCAGCGAGGTACGGGGACGGGTGAAGGTGTAGAAGTAACCCGTCATGGCCATTGAGATCAGGCGCACGTTGATGATGCGGGACTTGGCTGTTTGTTGTTTACCTATCAGCAACTATCGTCTTCTGTTTTCGGTTTCCGGTTTTCCCATTGTATCGCTTTTTCCCCTTAGGAAAACAAAGCAGTAATTGCAGGCACACGGGTGAGGATGGAGCTGATTACCCTTCTTCGCCATGTTGAACGACTTTTGTTGCGCTGTTGTGGTGTGCAACGGCGCGCCTGGACTGGACTGGATCAAGTGCGGTACGGCGACGGGCGACGGGCTGGGGCTCGTCCGGACGGAGAGGTTCGCAAACTGCGGGCGGAGGGCGGGCGGATTCACGGAGCACGGTCTTTGCGCCGGAAGCTCTCCAATCGACGTCGGGTCGTCCGCGCTTCTTGCGATTGCGATTGTAGATTTTGCCTGCCGGCCCGCCGGGGTGCGTGGGCCGTGGGGTGGACCGTGGGTGGGTCGTGTGCGCTCCTAGCTGGGCTTGGCAGGTGGTTGCCCGCGGCCGGGGTTTACTTGAGGGTGGTGGGTGCCTTCTGGCTCTGGGCGCCAAGGCTCTTCCACCCTCTCCCCATAGGGAGAGGGCGGCAAAATCTTGGGACATGAAGAAGTTGGGATACGGCCATTTGTATAAGAATCAGAATGATTGTTTGCACAACGCCGCCAGCATTGAAGATAAGAAGATGCAATTTTGACTGTTATTAGTCCTAACTATTACCATCAGATTCCAATTCTTAGTAATGGATTTGGATGGTATATGGTTGAGAAATTCCCGTTTCTATTACTCTTCCTTTATCATCTGAGGCATTTGGTGGAAATTTGCTTGCAACCAAAATTATAGGTAGAGGTAACGAAAACCAAGCTTTCTCAACTACAAATTTTTTTGAGACAATGAAATTTTATATATAAGCTTCTCTATAGTATAAGATACTCATTTAATTTTGGTAGAATATTTCAAAGACGTTGAGGGTGGAATTCGAGGAGATAGTTTTATTCTACTAAGATTTTGTATGCAAATTCAGGTGTCCTAGATTTATTTCATGTCCCAAGATTTTGCCGCCCTCTCCCTATGGGGAGAGGGTGGAAGAGCCTTGGCGCCCAGAGCCAGACGGCACCCACCACCCTCAAGTAGGATCGGTGAAGGCAAGGTGAGAAACAAGGTGAGTAGGTAGTGAACTGAGAGCTCACCGATGAACCCCAGAGGGCCTGGCCAAGACACAACGGGGGTGATATCTACGAACATGTCTTACAAATCTATTGACAACATCAACAACTTTGCTGGGCTTGTACACTGAGAGACATGCATTTAAAACACAACTTTGATATTTATGTATCGGAGTTTCAACATGGCGACCGTTGACAGCACTTTGGCTGTAATCATGCCCGTTCGGCCAACAATGCGCTGAAAGTGAACTGTGTAAGTCGACAAAAAGGGTAGTTCCTGGATACATGGACATAGTCCACTGGTCCTACACATGCCGCAGCAGAATACAACGGCCCGGATTTAATGTTGCGGCTTGTCGGGCAGCGCAGCACAGCAGCAGCTTACCTTGGCGGTTAAGAAACAGCTCAGCGATACCGCCTCGTTTGGCGGATAGCAGTCCGGGTCAGAATATGGCATTTGTTTGATTGACTCTCCATACTATACCAAGACTGTAGTCTCGATTCGGGCCTCTGCGACCCCGCCAGAAATGGATCGCGGGAGCAAAACCGGACCGGAACGAAGACTCTTTTGCAACAAAAGTTCTAGACCACACCGCTTTCCGTGCTCCTGTTTCGGAGCTCATTAGTTCAGTTTGGGTTGCTACATTTGATGAAAAAAGAAAAAAAAAAGTGTGTGTGTTCTTCTGCGTGCTTATATTTTTTTCCCCATTCATAGTGTCTTTGCGTCTGCTGTGTCGAATGCGGTTTGAAAACCCAACCCAACTGACTTAAACCGGACTCAGCCCTAAATCACATCCCGACCTCTCGGTACTCTCGGAGCGAGTCAGCGCACCATCAACGACAAGTCCTTCTCCCGTTCACCTTCGACGGCATCTCCGGGAGTCCTGTCTCCCCCACCTGGCAGTATCGAGACCCTCCTCCCCCCATCCATCAATACACTACATCAGAAAGAGATCGACAATCGCAGAGATGGCTGCCGGACTGTCAAACGCCCTCAAGACCGCCCGTCACCGGCTGCCGAGCGCGGCCGTGAGAAATTATTCAATCCCTGTCCAGCAGCCGGCGTGGGGTCCGGCGACATGCGGAGGTAAGGATCACCAAACCCTTACCATTCGCCAAAGCGGCGCGAGTTCTCGTCCGACTCGGATCGATGTGCTATTGCGTCGCTTTCACCTTCCCGAACTTCCCCAACTTTCTTTCCCCGCGTTTACAATCCTCTCCGTTGCAACGGTCTTGGCACCTGCTTACACAGCAGCTGTTCATCTGCCTTCACTTTCCCATTCCCAATGTGTTTGCTGTTGCTTTGAGTTCATGATCCAAGTTGCATCCTGAGACCCCATCCCCAGAATGTCACCTGCACATCTCCCTCTGTCTCCCCTTCCTCCCCACAACGGGAATCACCATCCCCGATCTCGGCAGAGACACGCGAACACAACCACACACACAGAGAGTTGCAGCCAAAATCTTCAACTCCCGAGAGCCTCGTGGCATGCAGTGCGTGCATAGTCCCTACCTATCTACTTGATGTCGATGCCTGCTCTGGAGCAATGCAATTTGTCAATGTTGTGGTTGCCTCGTCCCGCTGCATGGCAGATTACGTAGGTACCAAGAGGTACCTCATGCGCTTAAAGCGCCTCAGGGCAATAACCTGAAGCACTTTGTTCCGGCCGCTCAAATCCCGAAGCAGTTGGTGTATTCGATCATCGGACGTGTCGACACGACAGGCGAGACATGCGCTGATTCTTCTTCAATTACCCGTCTTTCATATACACACACACGCAAGAAAGAGCTACACAAGCCAACCATTTATTGTCGGTTTCGCTCGTTTGCTTGGTCTCTTGTTTTACTCCTCTTGAGCCGGAGCTTCCCATTTGTTATCCCCTTGGGCCGGCCTTCTCTCTGTGAAATAGGTTCGCCAAAGCTGGTGAACTTGTCTTGTAAACCCGATCACAATCTCTAAAACTTGTTGTTGTTGTGTTATCTAGCTGGTCCATGTACATTGCCCCTTCTGTTTCATGGGCCGGCATCAAACAAGCAATCCTTGCGCTTTCTCAAGATAACGAGAGACAAGCAAGCCACAGTACTGTACCTCTTGGACGGGGGACTGTGGGTTCCGAACTAACGAAAGTTTTCTAACGTGTGCCCACTCTCCAGCTTCCGGCCTTGACTCCTCCTCGGGACGCGCTGCCCCGCTGTTCAAGTCTAATAATACCCCGCCGGTTATTCACTCGTTCACTCAACAAACTCGGTTCCAGTCCTTCACTCAGATTCGCAAAATGTCGTCCTCCAACTCCCGCCGTCTCAACATTGACAACATCAACCCGCACGTCAGAGCGGCCAAGTACGCTGTGCGCGGTGAGCTTGCCGTCAAGTCCGAGGAGTTCCGGGCCGCCCTCCTCCGTGGAACCTCCGACATCCCCTTCAGCCAGGTCATCTCGGCCAACATCGGCAACCCCCAGCAGCTTGACCAGAAGCCCATCACCTTTTTCCGCCAGGTCCTCAGTCTCCTCGAGAACCCTCTGCTTCTCGAGAATGAGGACGTCCTCATCAACCACCTCGGCTACAAGACTGATGTCATTGAGCGCGCCAAGTGGTTCCTCAAGAATGTCGGCTCCGTAGGAGCTTATAGTGCCAGCAACGGCGCCCCTGCCATCAGACAGCACATTGCCGAGTTTCTCGAGAGTAAGCAGCCCTACCCGTTCGTGCCCTTGGGGTACATGTATGTAACTGTTGCTAACATCCCTTTTTTTTTCGCTTCCTAGAGCGCGATGGCTTCCCTGCCAACTGGCAAGACATCTACCTCTCTGCCGGTGCTTCTTCGGGAGTCAACACCCTCCTGCACATCATCTGCGCCGATGAGAAGAGCGGCATCCTGGTTCCCATCCCCCAGTACCCTCTCTACACCGCCTCGCTCTCCATCCTGAACGCCACCTGCGTTCCCTACCTCCTCGATGAGTCCAAGAACTGGGGCACCGACATCAACACCATCAAGGAGTCGTACCAAAAGGCCAAGGACGCCGGCGTCGACACTCGCGCCATCGTCATCATCAACCCCGGTAATCCCACCGGCGCCTCCCTCTCCGAGGAGGACATCCGCGCCGTTCTCGAGTTCGCGCGCCAGGAGCGCCTCGTCGTCCTCGCCGACGAAGTCTACCAGACCAACGTCTTCATCGGCGAGTTCATCTCGTTCAAGCGCGTGCTCCGTCAGCTGCAGAAGGAGAACCCCGATGGCAAGTATGACTGCGTCGAGCTGGCTTCCCTCCACTCCGTTTCCAAGGGCATGGTGGGCGAGTGCGGCCACCGCGGTGGCTACTTTGAGCTGGTCAACTTTGATCCCGAAGTCCAGGCTGAAATCTACAAGTTCGTCAGCATCATGCTCTGCGCGCCTGTCATTGGCCAGTGCTTGGTCGAGCTGATGGTCAACCCGCCCAAGCCCGGCGAGCCCTCCTACGAGCTCTACCAGAAGGAGTACCGCGGCATCTACGAGGGCATGAGGGAGCGCGCCAACGCCCTCCACAAGGCGTTTGAGCAGATGGAGGGCGTCGAGTGCGGTGCTCCTCAGGGTGCCATGTACCTCTTCCCTACCATCAACTTGCCCCCCAAGGCCGCCGAGGCCGCCGCCAAGGAGGGCCGCACCGCCGACGAGTTCTACTGCATGAAGCTCCTCGAGGCTACCGGCGTCTGCGTTGTTCCTGGTTCTGGGTTCGGTCAGAAGGAGGGTAGCTTGCACTTCCGCACTACCTTCCTTGCTCCTGGTACCGAGTGGGTTGGCAGCATTGTCAAGTTCCACAAGGAGTTCATGGATCAATATCGTTGAAAGGCTCACACCACTGTCAAAGTGTATTTGATTCGAAAACGGTACTTGATGAAAGGAATCTTTGCGGTTCGTCACGGTGGTGATGGGTGGGTGTCGAGTGTCCTCGAGATGGATGGATGGTCTGACTATGACGCTGCGCACAAGGGGGGCACTCGTTCATCGGTTCTGCAGCCCCTCAAGTATCAAAGCTGCCGTGGGAAAACAGGGTGTGACCCTGGAGATATCATCCCTTCTCTCCCCTGTAGAATGTCACCTGCCCTGCCCGCCCATCGACCTTGGGGATAGATATGCTGCCCATCCCAGCGTCGGGACCGGATAATGAAGTTGACAGGAAACATGGAACGGAAAAAGCGAGCGAGTTCTTGTTTACCAAGCAGAACTCGGAGTATGAAGGACAAAAAAAGAGCGATTTGGTTCGGCTTTTGGTTTGGTTTGGTTGGTTGGTTGGTTATGGGATCTTTGATGATACCTCAGCGTTTGTACTTTTTGCTAGCCTTTTGCATTGTACGTATGTACGTAGCCTTATTTAGGATACGAGGGACATACGAATACAAAAGTAAACAAAAAGCCTGGACAAGAAGAAACGGAGTCTTATGAACACATGATGCAATATCCGTGACAATGAGGAGCAAGTCGTTTTGTGTCTTCTGTCTTTACTAGAGCCGAGTTAGGCCCTAACGACAATTCAATGTGATAGGTTGCTTCAGGCTCTATTCTCTTCTGATTTCTCTCCTCCTTTCATCCATCCACTCAATCCATGCCCTTGATCATTCATATCCCCTTCCTTTCTTCCCGAGGTAATCGCTAACGATAGCACAGCTCGCTCATACATCATTGACCTTCCCCTTGTTTCACTGCTAGCTTCTAATTCTCTTCAAATTGGTTCTCTACTAGGCTCTTTCGCTTCCCCTCAACCGAACAGCCTGTCCGTACTTCTGCAGCTTGGTAATCAGCTGGTCACCCTGGCGGACCACGTCCTGATACTGCTTGTTCTTGTCGTCGGGCCGGTTGGTCTCGATAACACCCTTGCCATTGACGCGGTCGATGGTGCAGGGGATACGGCCGGCGGCGATGAACTTTGCTAGGTCACTGTTTTTGTAATGTACGATCAGCATATATAGAACTTGTGTTGGGGGAAAGCGAGAGGGGTATAACAATAACGAGGGGAAAACCAACCGATCCAAGAAATCTACCGTAACACCAAAGTCGTTGGCCATGCTATCCAGTCCCACAACGCGATAACTCTGCAGCAGCTGCTGGTACGCGCGCAGGCGCATCTCGCGGATGAACCAGTTCTTATGCTCGTGCAGGTAGCGGTCCTGGGTGAGGAATTGCTCCTCCACCAGGGCCAGCGCCTGGAAGAAGAGCTTGTACCGGCCGTTGTACAGGCTGCTGACCAGCTGCGCGAGCGGGTCAAAGTCGACCGCCATCTCCGCCTCAGGCTGTTCCGTGCTGCTGCCGAGCGTGGTCAGGTTGACTACGGCCGTCCGGGCCGCCACGGGGGCGCTATCGGCGTCCTGCATCGAGGCGTCGGCTCCCGGGCCGGCCGAGATGGCGCCGGTCAGTGCGAGCAGCTTGTCCTCGCCGTCGCCAAGAATCGCCTTGATCTCGGGGGCGTCCACGACCTTGGACTTGAAGTCGACGCGCTTGAGCGAGACGGAACCGGCGAGCACGGCGTAGACTACCAGGTTGCTGTAGGTGCAGAGCTCGTACGAGGTAAAGGTGGACAGACTGTCGAGGAGCAGGGGGGCGGCGCCGCTGTAGTTGCGCACGGTGAGCAAGTGCAGACCCTCGTAGGCCTTGAGGCGGTTGCGACGGTCCCAGTCGCCGCCCGACTCGACAAGCGACTTGGCGCGCTCGACAGTCTTCTGGACTAGCTGCTTGTCGCCAAAGAAGAGGCCGAGGCGGATTAAGGCGAGGACGAGATCGATCTTGGTACCTAGAATGCCCGTCTTCTCGAGCAGATCTTGGTGCGCGGCGATGGCTTTTTCCTGAATGGGAAGAGTGGATGCTTAGTATATGTCGGTTGGTGGGAGTGTATGGACAGCTAAGTGAACTTGAAGTGACCAACCTTATCGCCAACTCGGGCCCAGAACTCGGCCCTCTTCCCCTTGGCAGCCTGGATCTCTGTGTCTCCCGCCTTCTCGACAGCCTCATCCTCCTCTTTTTGAAACTCCTCGAGCTCCTTCTCGTTCTCGGCCTGCAGCTGCTGGTACAGGTTCTCATCCCACGGTAGGCTTAAGCTTGTGGTGGGCTTGTGGGTCGCGATCATGCCGGCGGCGATGCTGCTCTTCCTACCCAACCTTCCGGCAGCGGCAGTGTTGGAGCCGCCTTCCCCAACAGAGTTAAGGACACCCTCGGTAGGGTGCGCGAGGTATCGGTAAAAGGGCGCCATCTTGTGCTCGGTGATGGCATCTTGAAGGTTCTTGACGGCCGCTTGTTGGGCAGGGCGGGCGGCGTAGGGGTTTGTGAGGGTGAAGACATGCTGGGCGAGGGGCAGCAGAGGCCATTTCGCGTATTGAGGATCGGAGCCCATTTTGTAGTTGTGATGGGTACTAGCTTATGAGCCAAGGAGGGAGATGGGAGATGCAAATGGAAGACGGCCGGTGCTGGTCAGTGTCCGTCGTCTGGTAGAAGCACCCCGCTGGAAATCGGCAAGCAGCTGATGGAGGTGGATGCCGGCTTAAGATGGGAAGTTTCGCGGTGTTGAAAGCTCTTGGAAATTGGATCGCAATTTGTGACTTGGCCTGGCGCTGTGATTCTACCAAAGATGCCGGGTCGAGGTGAGGCTGGGTGGTGGTGATGTCTGTGGTTTGTGGTGCTCCTTGAATGGTTCGGAAGGTTGATAGCAGAGTAGCTGACCTCACTGGAGAGTGAAGTGACCAAGGCCCCCAGAGCTCGCGCGTCAGCACTGAAAAGTGGAGACAGAGCTTGGATGGAAGGCGGGCCAGGCCTGCGAGTGGAGCCGCTGGAACAGTGCCCGGGCAGGCACACTTCATCGGCTCAAACACCGACCGACCCATGCTTGCATCCTCAAAACACTTGCATCCCGACTTCCTTTTCCAATTGCTTTCTCTCCTCAACAACAACAACAACAATAAGAGTTCTCAACCTCGACACACCGAATTTCGAGTCTCAGAATCCACTTTTAGGATTTGCCTGTGTCTGTGCTCGCATCAATCGATATCAACAGTCCAAATCACAACTCACACCACTCACCGTCGCATCAGTTATTCTGCTGTTACACGAACCCTGGACGCTTGCCAGAGTTGTTCTTGCCGATGATCAAGTCTCCTTGCGAGACCACACCAATAGTTTTTCCCAACAATGTCAGGATACGATGGTTACACCAGTTATAGGTCCACTCGCAAGAGGCAACGCTCAGAATCGCCCTACGACGACGACCGCAATGGCCGCAACGAAGACCGTCGATACAAGTCTGCAAGGCATGACGAAGATGAGGACGACAACGATGTCCTCCCACAGCCGTTTGATGCCCGCAAGTTAGCTCCGGCCAAGAGAACACAAACTCCCACTACCAGCGGCGAGCCTAGAAAGCAGAAGCGGCCTGGCCAACGTGCCCGCATCACGGAAGCCGAGCGCGAACAGATTCGTCAACGTCAGATGGAGCGCGAGCGCCAGGCTCAGCGGGAGGCAGAAGCGGCCGCCGAAGCCGAGCGCCGCAACACGGTTAATGACGTCGTACGCGCCCATTACAATGCTGTGCCCGAGCGTGGCCGTGACTGGCGCAAGACGGACAGTCGCATCAAAGGTCTCCGCTCCTTCAACAACTGGGTCAAGAGCTGTATCATCCAAAAGTTTTCTCCTGACGAAGACCACTCGCCTGGCGCTCGTGAGCGGGGAATCAGTTCGAACAATCAGCTGTTGGTGCTCGACATTGGATGCGGCAAGGGCGGTGATTTGGGCAAATGGCAGCAGGCGCCACAGCCCGTGGAGCTCTATGTTGGGCTGGACCCAGCAGATGTCTCTATCGACCAGGCGCGCGATCGGTATCGTAGTATGGTGGCTCGTGGCGGTCATGGCGGCAGGGGTGGACGGGGTGGCTATAATAGGAGACAGCCGCCACTCTTTGATGCGCGATTCCACGTCAAGGACTGCTATGGCGAGTCGATTGAGGACATTGACATTATCCGGCAGGTCGGATTCGCGTCGTCCAACATTGGTGGCCCCAGCCATCGGGGCTTCGATGTGGTCAGCATGATGTTTTGCATGCACTACGCCTTTGAGACGGAGGCTAAGGCGCGGCAGATGCTGAAGAACGTGGCCGGTGCACTGAAGAAGGGTGGTCGGTTCATAGGATGTATCCCGAACTCGGACGTCATCAGCTCAAGAGTGGAGGAGTTCAACAAGCGATTGGCAGAGCAGCAGAAGGCTAAGGAGGATCAGGCCCAACCGAGTGTTGAAACCGACGGAAACACGCCCAAGGAATCAGTTCCCAACGGAGATGAAAAGCTCTCATCAGACCAATCACAGAGGAAGCCTACTCCAGAAGAGGGCGAGGCCTCGGAACAAACCCCCAAACCTGACGAGGACAAGGAAGAAGGGGAGCTGGAGGAAGGCGAGCTTGAACCTACTTCCGAACCCAAACCACCCTCCGACCCAACCATCGCAGAATGGGGTAACGACATTTACCGCGTGCGGTTCAACGGCCCCACGCCTGCTGACGGAATCTTCCGCCCTCCGTTCGGGTGGAAGTACAATTTCTTCCTTCATGAGGCCGTCGAGGAGGTCCCCGAATACGTGGTTCCCTGGGAGGCCTTCCGTGCGCTTGCGGAGGATTATAACTTGGAGTTGCAGTACCACAAAACTTTCACGGACGTGTGGGAGACGGAGAAAGATGACCGTGAACTGGGGCCCCTGAGCGAGAGGATGGGGGTCAGGGATAGGATGAGCGGAAAGTTGTTGGTAAGCCCAGAGGAGATGGAGGCGGCGAGCTTCTACGTTGCTTTCTGCTTCTACAAGGTTTGAGGCTGTTTTCAAGGTGGTTCTGCAAGGGAGTCTTGGACGCTTTCCACGGGGTATGATTTATTTTCCCCAAACTCGATTACATTTACTGCGCCATGATGGGTTGGCAATGGACCTCGAATGATGTGTTTCCCTTCCTTGTGTCTGAAGAAAGATGTTATCTTATCAGAGGAAGGCGAAGTGTGACCTTGCTTTTGCTATTTTATTTTAATGTCTTGGGGCCTCCGCCGTGCGTCTCGTGTTGAAGAACGAGAAGACGGTTTAACTAAAAATTACGGATGGGTTTGGACGGGCGGAGTGGTTCTCAACTACATGATAGACAATTACCAAGATGTCTCGTCACCTTGCTGCAAGCCATTATATAGCCAGTCCTGTACGTGATTAACCTTGATCACTAGGCCCGACCAAGGCGATCCTCGCTTACCAATAAACTACACTAAACGCGGACTGACACCACTACGGTGCCGCTACCCCGGGATATTTACGGAGTTGCACGGCGTTTGCCCCACTGCCCCACCAATTGTCAGCGCCCGGCGACGATGACAGTCTGGCGGATTCCATCTATCCCCACATGCATTTGTTGACATGCCTTGGACTTGGACCTTTGATGATTAGGAGAAAGCTTGTGATTCGAAAACTGCGCCGCATTCACACGCCAACAGCTTTGTGTCATCATCAGTCGGACGGGGGTTTCAGACAACAACGATCCGAAAACCCACCGATCATTCGCCAGACTATCTTGGGATATACTTATCGAGTCATCTCATCACCAGCCAACTCATCTTCTGGATTTCATCTCACAACCTCTCTTCCCCCGTAAACATTCATCCATCACCACCCAGACACCACCAAACATGTCCCTCCCGAACCCAGACAACCGCCCGCTCCTAATTGGGCCTCCTACCGGGCCCGAGGTCCCCTTCCCCTTCCGCATGGAGGGCGAAGTCATTTCCGGCTTTGGCCGCGGCTCCAAAGAGCTCGGCATCCCGACCGCCAACCTGCCCGTCGACGACGAAAACACCTGGATCAAGAACATCGACTCGGGCATCTATTTCGGCTGGGCATCGCTCAAGTTGCCCGCTTCGCATCCCAACTCAGTCTTGTACCAGAAACCTCCTACTTCCGAGCCGGTGATGATGGAGCCTGTTCAGCAGCAGCAGCAGCAGCAGCAGCAGCAACAAAATCAACAACAACAACAAAAGGGGGGAGTTGAATCAGCCCAACAAGAAAAGCTCGTCGACCAACAAACCGGCCAGTGGCAGATTTACCCCATGGTCATGTCCATAGGCTACAACCCCTTCTACAAGAACACGGTGCGCTCGGCCGAGGTACATGTTTTGGGAGAGTTCGCGGCTGATTTTTACGGGGTGGGCATGAGGCTTTTGATTACGGGCTTCATCCGTAACGAGAAGGATTACAGCGGGCTGGAGGCGTTGATTGCTGATATCCACTTTGATTGTGAGGTTGCCAGGCACAGTTTGGCGAGGAAGGGATGGAGAGTGAGGGAATTGGGTGTGAAAGAAGGGGAGGAGGAGGGAGAGTTGGATGGGAGTTGGTTGGTCAGGTGAAGGGGGAGAGGTGAAAAGGGGAGAGAGAGAGAGAGGGAGGAGAAGAGATGAAGGGGAATTGGAAAGATTAGAATTTGTGCGGCGAGTGGGAATAACGGACGGGATGGCAAGACTACCTAGTACCGATAGAATCTAGAGATGCAACGCTGCGCTGAAGCTTGAAGGATGCAAGAACTGCAAATTTATAAAATGCAGAAATAATTTTGGATTGGTAGGAGAAGATAAGATATGTACTGGGCAATGAAAAAGGATGCCGTTGGGGGTTGCGACGACCAAGGGCATCGCGTGTATGCCGTTCGATCTGTTAACCGATAAGACCTCGCCGGGTTCCTGTTTGTTTCTCCTATCTCCTGTGTCGTGCGCCTACACCTAGTGTGAAGGAGCGACCGGTATCTGGATGGGGTGGAAATTGTTTTTGCGGGACTGGTCTATGTGAAACCCAACTTCTTCCCCTCTTCATTATCTAAGTATGCCTTGTCTACCGCGAGCAATGGAATGTCTTTGCACCTTCTCCACCTTCAGCGCAATCTTCTCCTCCTTTCTCTTCACTCTTTCTTATTGCATGGTATTAAAGGTCTAACGATGGTGCTTGTGCTTGTAGTTCAACTTCACCATCGGGCAGCGATGGGCCAGCCAGAGGTACACAAGCGCCCCATCTAAATCCAGGTACGAAGAAAAAGCGGGCAGCGGGCTAACACAATGTAAAGAACATGTCTTATCCACCTCGATTTCTCAAGATCATAGACTAGCACCAAATGATTTATATACCAGGCAAGTTCGGTCAGATGGCGTTATGAAAGGCCATTATATCCGCCCCATCGATGGGGATCTACATAGGGTATAGGGTGGTAGGTTTGTATATATTGGTATGCTTGTGACCAGGATGAGAAGGGGACACTCAGGCGTTGCTTAAAAGTGTAAACATGTGATATAATATGGAAGGTGTTTTTTTGAGATACCGACAACGACGCCTTGATCAAATGCTTTCTCAAAAGTTATATCTCCATGTGTGAAGGATATTCGCCATCTGCAAATGTCTGCGAAATTCGGTGGGTCTCACCGACAACCCACTAGAACGCGATGAAGCCTACATGATATGTTTTATCTGGTTGCTGCGTTTTCTTTCACAGAATTGAAGTCCCCATCAAATGCCATATCTTTATTCTCAAAGCGAACGTATCGACCGTGTAGTAAGTACAGCGGAAAACCGTCCCTCGGTGACTCCAGCGCCGTATTTGCACCAAATAGGCAGAAAGAAGAATGACGGAGATAAAAAGGATTTTGCGAATATAGTTCAACATGTTCAGTTATATGCTGGACATTAGTGTTGCTTTTGCAACAGATAGGAATAGCACGAATGGAAAAGAGCGACAAAGGAGAACAGATGCACCCCTCAGAGCCTTTGCCCGCCCGTACAGGTCAATAGCCCCAGGACAATATTTGTCCGCGACATCACAGCCCCTACCTTACTCGTATCTCCGTTACGTTCGTGGAAAGCTTTGGCCTGTTTCCATTGTTCTTTGAGCGCCTCGATGTTTCGATCGAGTTCATGTGGGGTCTGCCTCTGATTCTGATTTGCGTCTCCGATGAGTTTGAGGTGACATCGGTACTTGCTTCTGTCGTTGATGTGATGGCTGATGGGGTTCCCGACTACATTAATGTCTGGCCCTCATCGTGGCCTTTCTTCGTAATTGAACAGCGCCCAGCTCGTGGGTTGAAACGTCGACGTGGTACCTAATGGAATCGGGCAACTTATTGGAGTCGAATCTAGTGACATTTGAGATGCAGATGGTGTCATTTTCTGTCTGTCCCTCTTGTTAGCTTGGAATTAGTTTAGTGAGCGCGATTATTGTTTTTCTGCTTGACTCATCTGAGCCACCTGTGTGTGGCAGCGTCTATGCCGATGTACTGCTTCGGTATAAGACCCTCATCGATGGCAGAATAAGAGCACTTTGTTGAAGACAGTTCAAGGCGGACAAATCTGTAAAGAGCGTTAGAAAACGGGAAAGTGCCAATTTCGAAAGGAGCCCTCCTTTGCAAGTCCTTCCACGAAGGGCCGCCATAATATTGCATGTGTAGCATCCCATGTCGGCCGCGAAACTACAAGCACCCTCGCATTCAGGGTTTATTTTTTTTTTAAAAAAAAAAAAAAAAATCTTCTGTGGTCATTGTAACGGCAACCATGCGACATGCGCCGCACAATAAGATGTAGCAGATGCAATTTGCTCACTCTTGGGTTGTCGACAGCAAGCTTGGTTTCACCGAGAAATCGGCGTCTTCGCCTTCTCTGCCGTGATGTTAACTCGGAATGTTGCACCGTAGTCGTTAGCGAGTCTGGATGTGAGTGGTAATTAAGTGTTCGGAGAGCCTTATTGAAGACTTGTGTTGTTATGGTGCCATCAAAAACAAATGATCTGCATCAAGTTGTTAGTCAGCTTGTCTCATCTGCTCGTTCTTCTCTCTCTCTCTCTCACTCTCTCTCAAAGCCAGGCGAGTAGGTGGTCCTGCTAACTTCAGTCTCTCGGTCACTTCCTCATGGCAAGCCATACCTTACCGAGTCTTGACACTACCTCAGGCAAAGTCCTACCTCTACAGGTAGAGTTGGACCTCGGCACAGCCTGGGTGAAATGGTGGTTGGTTCGACCTTCAAACCCGCTATTCTAGGTAAGTTGCGTGGGATTTAGGATACACACAATTCGCCGTCTCTATCAATCTCACAGTCAGTCAGACAGGCCAACCACGGAAAGACTTCAATAATCGCCTCCAATGTTTATATGCTTACTGGGGTAACTGCACCAGTCCATCGGTCTAAGTTCTAAACCCTTTTAAGCTCTGTTCCTGACACAGGTTCCTGTTGCTGCCTTGCACATTTCTTAGTCTAGACCACGCACACCAAATGGAGTCCCTGTGTGACCACTGAACCACGGGCTTCCAACATCCAAACCACAAAACAAATAGAAGCAGAAAACAGACAAACGTAGGAGTGATAAGAAAGAGATCATCGATAACGGGTTATGTGTGTACTTGAGCATGTGGGACGTGGGGGAGGAAGCAAGCAAGATAGCGTTCAGGCTGAATACTAGGCAGACACAGCAGCCGCATGGACAAGAATTGGTTGGCGGCACTCAGTGATGTTGGGGAGAACGGGATGAGAGGGGGAGAACACTCGTCGAGACCGTGGACGAAAGGAAGGAAGAGGAGATGAGGCTCGGGGTTGCGTGGAGGATGAGGAGGGCGGAGTGCTCGATGGCTGCCGATCCGAGAACATTGGGATGGGGAAATGATGCAAAATTCTGCAGTGATTTCACGTGTGGAAATTGATGCATGAGGGAAAGCGGGAAGCGGGAAGGTGCCATCAAGGAGGCTCGGTGAGGCTGTGTCGTCAGGATGTAATTTGCTGGCATGCCAAGAAGCCTTGCCCAATCGTGGGGAAAGAGCCTTCACCGGCGACACTTTCCCCTCATTCCTTAAGTTGCCATTGATGTGTGATAATTGTGTGTGAGTGGCACCTACCCGTTTACATGAGGAAGAACTACCTACATATACCTCTAGTTCTCGTCTGCCTGCTTCTTGCCTAAGTAATAGCGTGGGACTGACATGGGGCAGTTGCTGGTCGGATGGCATCGTGGAAAGTCTGTACTAAGTCTTGCATGCCTTGTGGAAGAGAGTGTCACTCTCGACCAGCAACATTTGATATCTTCGGATGAAACCTTCCTCGTTTATCAACAGTCTCGTTTCGTTGCATTTTACCATGCCGCATTCGCGACAATGTTAGAGTCTAGCGAAACGGTTGAACTGAAACACATGTATCAAAGACAGAAGGCGCGGCTGTTGCATGCCATGCTCACCAGGCTCTCACGATATACGTCGTACGTAGGACTATCCTGCCTTCGCCGCGCAGAGTATTACTCGAAGCCTCAATTCATCACTTGGTAGATTTCTTCCCTCCTGCATAACTGGCTCATCGCCTTAATTGTGCATACAGGCATTTATCGTTGCTTTCATTTGTCCGTCGTCTTACATTGCCTGCCTGCCCACCCTGCCTTCTCGTCCGCGTTTTGGTACTTGCCGAGGCGGAGAAGGCTGCCTAGCTGTCTGCCTAACTGTACTCACCCACCTCACCCAGTCGTGACCAGGCACACGGCCGATTTGGAACCACTCCCGGTTACCGATGGTGCGTATCGCGGTATGCAGCGTGTCCCACCGATTTTCGTGGCCCGTCAATGGTTGATACTCTTTTGTTGAGGTTGTCTCTTGCCCAGTATGGTTGGTTTTCGGTCAACTTTTGAACACCAGAGGCACGGTACGTGCTCATGAGTGTCCATCAAGCTTTCCCAAATATTTCTCCCCGCAATTCAGGTATGGCAAGCAGTTGATAGGGCTGGATGTCTCTTCCATTGATAGCCTTGTGCGCTCATCACCGCCCCCTCTCCCCAAGTGGTCGGTCAGTCGCAAGACAACCCCGAGTGGAAGCAATGGCTTCATAGCCGTCTGCATGCCGGGCACCATATGCTGTAAAAACAGTTACGGCTGTAAGGTATCCGATCGATAATCTGACATCCTCTTCTGATCATAGGGAGAATGTGACTTGGCATCATGACACCGATATACAAACTCGTGTCTTGGGTTTGGTCCTATATAGATCCAAGACAATGACCGCCCTTCATGATGTTTGCTGTCCCAAGCCATTCTATTTCCATCTCCTTAACTTCCCAGGCATTGCTTTGCATTGTGACCTGAATTTCGAACATACCACTTACCTCTTAACCCATCATCGTGGTAGCAAATCCTGCAACCACCATCTTGATATTCTGGCTTTCCTCAACCGCATGGCAGACCTAGACACCCGTCAGCTACCATCCAGCAATTTCAGCGGCAACAACCTTGTTGTTGTTGAAGAAGAGCATAGACAAGATGACGAAGCAATGGGAAGACCACAGACATATCATCATCCGGGAATACAAGGACAACAACAAGCCTCTTCATGAGGTAAAGAAGTTCATGGAGGAACGGTATCGGTTTAGAGCTTCGTAAGTATTTCTTCCTGCGTCCAAGATGTGTATCGTGTCTCGCGTTGCATTTCGATGGTGGTCGCCGGCGTTTGCTCGTTGGGGATGTTCGGATCTTGTTTGTCGTTTCTCGTCGTTGCTTTAACTATAGTCGTTGTCTGTCTCTAACGCGTAACCGTGCGATAGAATTCGGGCATACAGGTCGCGCTTCGATCGATGGAGGGTTCGCAAGTATACGAGTCGCAAGCGAAGAGATTCCTTCGCAGCCAAATCCGATAAATCTGTGTTATCCGAGTCATCAGATGATGGTACCGGCTCGCCACCCCCATCATCAAGTCCCATCCATAGACGAGGGAGCAGCAGCCGACAAGAACACCCGTCGATCCATTACATCGGTTCGGGCATGTACGAATCGACGACTCCAACGGAAGTTTCTTTGAGGTAAGTTCTCTGTTTTTCGCATGTCATCGGCAAGACGGCAAGACAAGGCAAGAGAGGGCATCAAGGGTGTGTCGTAATTTGTCAGAATCATGTTTTGTGCGAGAAAAGAATGTCTTCATGCTGACTATCTCTTTTCCCCGCTACACTAGCCCCTCGGGCCATCCGAACTTTGAACCACTCCGGCAATTGTATCCTACAGACCCCCTCGCGGGACTGCTGCCTGGTTCGGGCCTGCATTCGAGCCAGAGAGGACTTGTGAACAAATTTCGGTACCCGCCTGACCATCAAGGGCATTATGACACCGGCATTTACCGGCAAGCTCACGACCCAGTGTTCCATACCAAGTTTACCGAGGGTTGTTCTCAACTGCTTCTCCATCATTGCTTCACCGACAGGGTACTAGCAACCCGCTTTCCGCGGCCCATACAGTAACTTAGCGGACATTATGGCCCGTCAACCGTTATCGAACCCTGCATGAGTTGAAACGGACATAACCCACTGGAGAAGTGGTGTTCACTGTTTAGCCTTCAACAGTCGAGAGGCCGGCCAACCCATTTTTTGCTAGCAGAAAGCATGTCCAGCTTTACTTGGTGTAACCTGGTACTCCAATTTCGCAGTAGGTTTTTTTTTTTTTTTTTTTTCTCCTCCGGTACAGCGGGCATTGTATCCTTAGAAGCACGATAGGGGTACTGTGGACGTACACATACACATGGAGTTTCGAGGGTTTATCTCTTCAAGCAACCACCCTACACTAAACGGTTACCCGAGACTGGTTTCAATATGATCAACATAGAATGCAAGGCATGGCAACGTCTCTACTGAGGTGACAACAAACAGTGCGCGGTAACTGCCGAAGGAGTGGTTCGCCTGCTGGGGTTTGATCAGGGGTGGAATAGACTCCGCTATGTAGCGGCCGCCCTCATTAGCTCGATGCAAAAGACAACCTTTCTCACTCAGAATCGTCCTGTTTCACCCCGTTGTTCGCACGGCCTGACCGTAATTGGGTACTCTCACCCATGAGGACGCTTTCATCCATTTGTTCGTCGGGATCAGCATTGGAGCTCCTGTCCTCGCTTTCCCTTGCTGCTCGAGCAGCTCGCTTGACCTTGCGCAATGTGAGTTCATCAAGATACAGGTCCTTGATGCGAAGCTCCTGTGGTGACATGTCAGCTAGAGATTTGTTGCACAAAATAATACGTCTATTCTTACCTTGGTGCACACAGGGCACTGTGCTTTGCCCCCAGTGCCTCTCAAGTACTCCATTATTGCGGTTTTCTCGAAAACGTGTGGGCATTTGTGGTTGGCGTATGGCTCCTTCAAGGGTCGAAGCGTTAACTTGCAAGTGAGGTCCTGGACCTCGCGCTCGATAATGAGGTCCTCATCGCCCGCCGGAGCACCATCCCAAATAGGCCTGCCTTGGTTATCAAACCAAGTGGACGCATCGGGAAGGGGCACTTGGTCTTCGGGATGCTGGGCATCATGCCACATCTTTTTGAAAGCGATATACTCGTTGTTGGAAGCGTAACGGTCATAAGCACTCGTGGCACGGTACTGTCTCGCGTTGGAATCTCTTGCCTTGTGGAGTGCCTCGCGCACGCCGGTCAGAGGGGCCTCGTCCTTAGCTCCGACGGCCTCTGCCTCTTCAGGCTCGGCATCGACACCACCCATCTCCTCATCACTATCGCTGCTGACCCGCTGTGCAGCTTTCCGTTTCCGTGAGGGGCGTTCCCGGCGGGATTTTTCGCTCTGTACCTGGTCTGCCACCGAGCCCAAAACTAACTTCTCGCGCTGAACTTCGGCACGGTAGTCAATAACCTGTCGCAAGGCAGCCTCGATCTCATCAGTCAAATGGGTCACATCTCCATGTAGCTTGTTGACGTATTCCTCGAGCTCGGCCTCGTCTTCGCCCTTTTCAGATTCGCCACGGCCACGTCGCTTTTCGATCTTGCCCGTCAGCTGTGATTTGCGAGCAAACAGGGTATCGTTGATGGCGCCGACGGCCTCTCGCAAGTAGGTAGCGGATTTGGAAAGATGGTCCTCGTACTTGCGCATCTCCGCGTTGTTGTTGGTGAAGTTGGATAGGGCCTGTCTGCCTGCATCGTTCATTGGATGCGAGGGAGGCTCATAGGGGGGCAGGTCGGACCCATTGTGGGCTGATGTGGACGCGGAGGCAGTCGGCTGAGGGCGGCGCGAACCCTGAACAAGTCGCCCGGGTGGCATGATGCTGGAATGCGCGGTATTGAGGTGGCTCGGTTGGGTATAGGTGGCCGCTGGCTAGGTGTCCGTGATAGCTTGCTCTATGCTGGGCGATCCGCTGTCGTGCCGATAGACCCTTCAATCGAATATGATGCTGCGTAATGTTGGCCGGGGGGGCTTGGCAGTTAGTGCCACTGTGTGTCCCCAGGTGAGCAGTGTACCGGCGTCGGTTGGGCTGCCTTGCAGATAAAGAGCTGGACCGTTGAGGCGTAGAAGGCGGGTGGAAGAAAGCAAAACAAGGACCAGAGGGGTTCTTGATTGCCGTAGAGTCTCGGGATATTTAGCGATCAGGGAGTCTAAAACATGCAATGACTTTGTTGAACAGCCTGTTGAACGACCTGTCGAGCCTGTACCCGTCATGCAATTTGGACTGTGGTTGCTTGTGTAGCCCTACTAGACCTACGTCGAACAGAGATCGAACAATGATCGAACACGGCGATCGAGACGTCTCGGCGGCTGGCAACGGTATTCCTTGTCCGGGTCGGTGATTTGGTGATGGGAATCGTGAATGTCGAATACAAATTGAAACTGAACGGTGTTGAAGTTGGGAGTGGAAAACGCGTGTTGCCCTCGGCGGAACGCGTCTCGACCATTTAGGTAACGAACTTTCCACTTGGGACGTTTACTTTTCGGTCCAAGTGGAAGCGGGAGTGGAGGCCGATGGAGGAGAGGCAGTGGAGACTGGAAGTGGTTCCGTTACACCTCTGCATGGATATAACTTGTTAGCGTGGTTTTTGGTGGCGGCAAGGAACCTCAATTTTCCCACAAGAAATGGTCTGTTTGGCCGCTATCTTACCCCTGCTTCCTGTAGAGTCAACGTACCAAGCTAACAAGTTATATCCATGCAGAGGTGTACATCGAAAATCGGGACTTGGCGAAGAAGCTCGAGCCACTGCACATGTACTTTGATGTAGTCACACTAGAAGACCTGAGAGCCAAGACCGCTAGCGCGGTACAGCGATACATATCTGAGACCTCAGCTCTTACTAACCGTAACGCTGCTGTACACAAAATATGTAGGTAGGTAATTAACTCGGTCCAGTGAATCAAGTGAACCAGTCATCCAACCGATCCAGCAATAGAGATTCATCTCAACTCGTACCCGTCATGTTATAGTTTTCTGCTGATTCTGCGAGTATACGAGAAGCATCTGTATTCGTAAGACTCTATTCGCGACGCTGAGGACGGCATAAGCTGTCTGGAACTGCCCTCGCTGGCCCCAAAATGCACGGCCGAGCCTGTCATGCCCCCGGGTACTTGACCAGCAATTGTAGGGTATTTTTTTACGACCAATCGACAGCAATGTGTGACATCAGGGACAAGGGGGGGGGGGGCATCCCGCAACACAGCACAGCTTCAGCCTCAACCTTTTGTTTTTTCAGCGATGACTGGCCGTGAAAGGCACAATTCTCTTTCTGTCTCTCCTCAAACAAGCCAGACCCTTCTTGATTGAAGTGCCATTCCACATATGCACACATGGCTCGGGCATTACTAGTAGCCAGCTCAGCTTAGGTACCCTTACACTGCGAAGCCCGAACGGGAAATTGTTGTGAAATGTGAATCCTCGATCCTGGTTGCTGACTTGCTCTTAGTCGCCGAGTGAGTCGCCTGTCCTACAGATTACAGATTACCGCCCAAGAACCGGGAGGGCGGATCATGACAGGTCTGTTCAGCGGTAGCGAAAGCCCCCTTGGCTGATGACCAGGACAAGACGCAGGCGGCGAGATGAGGATGAGCCCTCTTCATGATGAGGACACACCAACCAACCGCCATTCCTTATTCCTTCCAGGCCGCTGGCGTCTCTGTCGGAAAAAGGGATATGAGTGTGTGAACAAGGTGGATATTGGCCGTCGAAGCCCATGGGAACTTCCCGCTCTTGGCGCCTTTGCGTTTTCGTCAACGTTGGACGATTTATCCCCATCACCCTCATTCGCCTGGCCGGCGATGCAGTGGCATCAAACACAAGCCGTCTTTAACATCGGAGTATACTACACACACACGCACTCTCAGCAGTGGGTTTTTGGAAGATCCAATGCTGACTTAACACAGGCAACCTCTTCACGAAGACCCGGCTTGCCGTTTATTATTCGGTGTAACCAAGCGCTGGGACTGTGCACCGTGTCACATCGAGATTTCAAACTGCTCTGCGGTCGTGCAGTCACCGGTCATCATGGAACTAATTGGAAACCAAGCGGCCGGTTGAGCAAAGTCTTGCCCTGAAAAGTTGGCACATCAGAGCCATCCCGTTTGCGGTTGCAGACGGATGAAAAACGAGCGGAATGCACGGGAACAGGGCAAGGTGACCATGACATGGGCGAAAGGTAGCCGGGGACAGACGCAACCCGCGCACATCCCGAAAGGGGAAGTTGCGATAATCTCGTGTTGTGACTTCTCCCTCTTCCCTCAATGATGTGCCGACGCCAACGCCATCACTTATTCACGCCAGCACTGTGGTTCGAGCTTACCTGCTTCCTGGCGTCCTATGGCCTCCCGTGTCCTGCTGGTGATCATCCCAATCTGTCAAGTCTCATTTCCCCTCATTCCTATCACGATGAGGAGTCTGAGACTTTCTGGGAAAAGAGGGGGCGTCGATAGTTTGGTCCGTTTTGTCGACGGTATTCATGTGATGTCCTTACACTTGCATGAGACCAGGCCGCCCTGTTGTTGTTCATGGTTCTCTCCCAGTCCCAAGGGAGCCAGGCTGGGGCGCCCCCCCCCCCCCCTCCTTCTTTGTCCTTCCACAACTTCATGACCCCCCATGCGCCTCTGCCTAAAGGTCTACCACCTACCGGACCCTCTGCTCATCAAGACCCCCAAGATGCCCCGCCCGCTTTATCGCCATACAGTAAATTGACTGTACATATACCCGATGAGAACCTGGTTGCTGTTGGATCCAAACTCGGGCTGTCAAACATACAAGCGAGAAGCGTGGGTCACCTCACGGCCGGTTGGCGCAAAGGGACGAGGTAGGTTTGTAGTGTAGCAAGGGGGTTCGGCCTTGACGCCTACAAGGGAGCAGATGGAATGAGAACACCATAACAACCGAGCCCAGAACCAAGGCATCACCACATGTCTTTAGCGCAACGGTATCAGCAAGCTCTCCGAACACACATGAAAATGGGTTCCGTTATTGTGGTCCTGGTGAAAGGGGTGGTGTTGAGTACTTGAGGTACATATCTACCTACCTACCTACCTACCTACCTACCTAATGTTGGTGGTCAAGGTGTCAAGTGTCGTATGTCCGGTGGTGGTGGTGGTGCGCGCATTTGACAGCCGGTGACGGGACAACTTGAAAGGAACCGAAACCGAAGAGACAACTTGACAGATGGAAGTGACTAACTCCCTAGAGCACTAGGGTTGACGTTGCAGTAAAAACGTGCCGGTTTTCTTCCCTATCTGCACTGTCCGCTGGCTGGTTGGTGCGGTTTCAATTGTTCGTGCTGGCGCGTGGGTCCCGTTCTTGGTTCGATCCACGGCGCTGGTGCGATCGCTGCGGATCTGGGTCCCTCGATGGTTTAGCAGCTGCGATCGGTCAGCATCGCTGTCCCCATTCTACACTGCCATCCAAAATCAGAAAGTGTCCCCCAAGTTCGCTGGTGGGTTCCATTGGTCTTGGCGGCATCCAGATTTGCCCGGCTGCATTCTCACGCCGTCTGCTCCTTCTTCTCCTATTTGTCTCCGTGCTGTCCGCGAATCGGTACGTTTTTCAACATTTTGGCCTCTTGGCCATGACCCTCTTTGGTTTCTGGATCGAACTTTGTTCGGTTATGTATTACCTAGGTACCTACGTCTATGACTCCATCGGTCTCTCTTTCCTCCCTTCGGACTTTTGCATATCCACAATTGGCAACTCTCACCGATCTCTCGTCAACCTCCTCTCGTACTTTGTTAACGCTTATACTATCTTTCTCTTCTCTGTTAGCATTCATTTGAAGACACTATCCTGATAAGCGAAAACCCCAAGACGCCGTCGATCTGAACAATAAAAGTCACCACGGTATTCTTCACCAAAAGTGTGAAGCAAACATGGCATCATCAGCCCATTGAGAGACTACTATGTAAGCAAGATCAAGACTCTTCTTCCATGACTTTTGGTGCCATTGGTCTTGGGTTGGGGGTGTAATGGTCAAATAAACGGGAAGGGGGTGGTCAGCCCTGAGCGTCGATGAAGAGCGTGATGATAAAAACTCCATACGGTGCAAGTTGTCGATAAAGACGGGGCACATGATGGGGATTCTTGGATGCCAGGGTCTTCCACCTAGTCTAGGGTGTCAAAGGAAATGCGGTCCCATTACTGGATCCATCCGAACCGCTCGAACGTCGGGCCACTCCCGTTGTGTCCTCTGAGTTTCCCGATCTCAAGAGCTTCCCGATGCAGGCTGTGATCACAGATCCTGGCCTCGGCGCTGAGACGGGATGATGGATACTGCTGTACACTACATAGTGAAGATACGGGACAGCAGAGCAAGCGGCACCCGGACAATGGGACAGCAGCAAGCAGTCACCCTTCAACAAAAAAAAAAAAAAAAAAAAAAAAAAAAAAAAAAACGAAACGGCCATGTCGCCGGCATACCACCCACAGCCTGGCTCCCGCGTCTTGTCAATGGCTCACACAAAGAGCTCCCATCTCTTGTCCGAGCCGTGGTCTCTTTGTGTACCCTCAGGCCACCCTTGCTACCTACGTACATGGAACGTGTAAAGGCGTCGTGTACCGTTCGATTGGATCGGCGTCTTGTCTCTGGCAACTGTCTCTCTTTTTTTCTGTACACTATGTCCCTGGCCCCCCTTGGCCTGCCCTGCCTGGCTCTTGAGCTATGGTGTCTCTCCATACAGGACCCTGGGCATCCCAAACACCCCCGGCTCCCACTTCAAATGACCAGCAGGATACCGGTTGTTGACCAGGTCTACCGGATCCCCAATACAGACTTTGTCTGGAACCTTTGCGTCTTGGTTTTGTTTATCGCACCCAAGATTACTGTTTCCACATTTCGGTCCTCACATCTGCACTGATACGGCCTCGTTCCGCAGCCAAATCCTGCTCCAGATCCCCTACACTACATCTCGATCGACGGCATTCCGGCGCTCAATCCCAACCAGACCTTTGCGTCTTAGGGCTTTATTAAATACCCTCTTCTTCCTTCAACCTCACAGCCTTTCTTCCTCTGCCTTACTTTTTGCCACCGTGTATGCCTTCAACCTTAATATCATTACACTCAACAAGCTCCATCTCATCCTCGACTCTATTGGTCTATGCGGTAACCTATTCCACTTACACCACCAATTCCCTTGTCCCAAATAGGTCGGCCTAGAACATCGTCATCAACCTGTTAGCCTTTGCCAGCTAGGGGGCTAGCGCCTGTGCGATTACTCGAAAGCCTCTTCAGCCGGCTAAAGAAACCATCATAATACCCTACCAACACACTGTCTCATAGCCAGCACCATGAGCCATACCGTGAACTCGAGCACCATGAACCCATGGGAGGTTGAGGCGTATCAGGTAAACGGCACTCCTTTCTTCTGCTTGGTAATGGCGATGCCCCTGCTAACAAAAACCCCCAGCAATACCACTATGACCCTCGAACCGCGCCCACTGCCAACCCTCTCTTCTTCCATACGCTCTACGCTCCCGGCGGTTATGACATTATGGGCTATCTGGTTAGTCACCACCGAAGCCCTGTTCGTTGTTATCATGTGGAGGTTAAAGCGGCTAACAAACTGTAACAGATTCAGATTATGAACAGGCCAAACCCCCAGGTAGAACTGGGACCTGTTGACACGTCATGCGCTTTGATCCTGTGCGACCTGAAGCAAAAAGACACGCCAATTGTGTACGCCTCGGAAGCTTTTCTCTATATGACAGGATACAGCAATGCGGAGGTCTTGGGGAGAAACTGCCGTTTTCTTCAGTCACCCGACGGAATGGTCAAGCCGAAATCGACAAGGAAGTACGTCGACTCCAACACGATCAATACGATGAGGAAAGCGATTGATAGGAACGCCGAGGTGCAGGTTGAGGTGGTCAACTTTAAGAAGAACGGTCAACGGTTCGTCAACTTCTTGACGATGATCCCGGTGCGAGATGAGACAGGGGAATACCGGTACAGCATGGGTTTCCAGTGCGAAACGGAATGAAAGCGGCGAGTTAAGAATGGAGAGGAGAAAAGAAAAGGGGGGAGAGCGAAAGAGAAGTGGGATGAGAGGCAACAGTCACAGCACCTCCACGGCGCAATCACAACAACTACAACCACAACAAGACCAACATCAACATCAACATCAACAAACAAGGGGAGGGAGTTAGACACGATGTCATCTGGCATACGTCGCGGCGTTTGAGGGTTTTACTTTTTTGTTTGCTGTCATTCCGGGATTTCTCATGTTTGGCTAGGGGCTTCACATCAACATCATTGCGAAAGGCGTCTTATTCTGCGATCGGGCATGGCGATGAGATTGGTCTTTATTCTTCATCTTTATATTCCCACATATACATATCATAACAGTCATCCGCTTTCTCACTTCCGTCGTTTCTCAAAAAATTGTTTGGTTCTTCTTTTACCGCATCACCTATTATTACATTATCATCTGTCAAGATGACAGAGCGGCATTCTGGCCCTGCTTTAGATCTTCATCTTCAGGTTGCTTTGGATAAGGCAAATCGCAAGAGAAGTGGATCTTTCGATGAGGCGCTTTTCCATCGGCTTTTACGTTATGATGCGGGAAGCAAGCAGGCAGGCTTGTTGGGTAGGGAATAGACTGGCAGAAGCGGTAGGAGAGAGTTATCAGTCTCGCAAATCAAGGAAGGGGTCGAGGATACAGGAGAGAGAACGCGATGACTATCGTTGCTACCGCGAGGCCAAAAGGTTTTGGATTGGAACAGTTATTCGAGTGGGCCACTGCAATGAATTCACATATCATTCCGCCAAATATGGAAACGGAATTCTGCAAACACCGAAACATCAACAGAACGAATCCTTTCTACTCCCATCAATGGCCAAGCCAGCGCTTAAACTATATTACTGTGCCATTGTCACACGCCACAGAGAGCGTTCATCAAAGGGCTGATCAATGATTTAAAGACGCAAACCGTTTGACATTCAACTTTCCTTGGACCGTCCATCATTCCGTTGTCAAACCGTCGAGGTCGTCACGCCGGGACAGTACTAGTTCTACCGTATCCCACGCACATAACCCCAACCCCGATCCTTGATCAGCACTTGAGTTACATGGACTTCAACCGAGCCAACCATTCAGAAAAAAGGCAACCACCACCCAGGCCAGGGGCAGCGATCAGCCTCTCTCCGTCCCTGCTCTTTCCAATCCCATCTCGCGGATGCAAAACCGACACTGACCGTCAACCGCCCAACCGCCCACGCCCGCAGCTCCCCCATAATACTGACGTCACCACACACACCTCTCTTCACTTTTTGCGCATCTCGCATTTCGCATCTCGCAAAAGAAATCGACAAGTGCAGCGGGTTCAAATCAATGCTGCTTGCTGCACACCATCACTGCCGCCCAGGCGGACAGACGGATCCCCCTAACAGCTGCATCCCTCAGTGAAAAGCGCGCACTAGGTACACGCATTGCAAGAACTGCAAGAACTGCAAGTCCCGTGGGAAAACAGAAGGAGGAGAAAAAAAAAAAGAAAAAAAAAAAAAAAAGAGAAAAAAAAAAGAAAAAAAAAAAAAAAAAAGACGAAGAAGAAGCAGTAGAAAATGAAAAGAAATCTGGGGACAAAACTACGCCGAAACCCGCACGCCACACCACGATCATACCAGGAAGGAAGAATCTACTAAAGGAGCTTATAGAAATAAGTTTTCAAAGAAACTTGATATCAAATAATCAAGGTCCGCTGGCTCAATGGCAGAGCGTCTGACTACGAATCAGGAGGTTCCAGGTTCGACCCCTGGGTGGATCGGTTACATGCGTTAGGTGTTCAACTTGATTTTTTCTTTTATTTTTCCCCCTTTTTTTTTCCATGCCTCCAAAAGGGTCAGAGCTGCAACATGTCCAGGATATAATTATATCAAATGAATTTATTCTTCTGTGTTCAGATTTACAATTGCAGTCTTCAAATTGTCTTCGCAACTCTCATACCCATTCACTTTGGCGAATTCGGTCACAGGTTGGTGGTTACGCTCAAAGATGATGATGACCATGAGCTGTTCAATCGACTTGTAATTGATGTCACTTTCTGCGGCAGTATAAGAAGGGGGTCAAATATCGCTTGTTCTCTTTTTTTTCTTCTCCCTGCTACGACTGAGGACCTCTCTGCCTAACCAAAGAACAGCAAAATAGTCCGTACAAGATAGGGATGCCTCGAAAGAAAAATTACGCTGAGGCTGGGTGGTTCATAATATGTAAGTGCGGCGAACCAGTGATATAAGATATGGAAGCATCTGGTTGGGGAGAGGGTATCATGAATCAATTCAACGCGCTATGTATGTGTTCATAGAACACCACCAACCGACCAGCCAGCCCACATGCCACCAGCAACCCAAAACAAAACAAAACCCAGAGACAAAATAAAAGGACCGGAGAAGAATTGAGCAGGCACGGTTCATGACTGTGACCAATTCAAGGAAACCACGTCGCGCCACGTCCCATGCAACCAAGTCACACACCATTAAACGGCTCGATGCACTACCATCTACGCAGCATTCGAAGTCGACCTCCTCCAAATCATAAACGCCGCTAGCGCCGCGCACGCCGTCGCTCCCAGTGCCATGTACAGACTGGCCCTATCCGCCGGCGGTTCCTCGCTCCTAGGAAACGCCGTGCTGGGGTTCGTCGCCGCCTCCGCCAGCGCGACAAACAGTTCGCTAATGCTATTCCAGGTGACGCTTACGTGCAAGGGCGCGCTCATGTTGAGCGCGGCTGTGTACGCGTCTGGCTGCAGCTCGCTGCGCTGCGTGGTCTTGTCGCGGTCGGCCTTGAGGGCCGTGTAGACGGCGGGCAGCTCGTCGAGCTGCGGGTATCGCTTGCGGAGCTCGACAATGTGCGAGAAAGAGTCGGGCTCGGACGAGTCGTAGGCGTAGCAGATGAGGTCGCAGGCGTCCAGTTTGGCTTGGTTCTCGAGGATGGCCGGCTCCAGCTCGCCGAGTTCTTCGAGGATCAGATAGCACTGCTTGCCGCCCTGGAGCTCGACGCTGTTGACGGCCTGTCTGGGCTTGATGGTGGGGTGGTAAAGTGTGTCGAAGGGACGGTTGAGGAAGACGTCTAAGAGGGAGGATTTGCCGGCGCCGGAGGAGCCGAGAATGTAGCAGAGGACTACGTTGCGGTCCACGCGCCCGGGCCGACGTCTTCGCTTCCGAGGTTTTGTGATTTTGAGGGCGGCTGTTGTCGTCTCGCGGGCGTTTGGTGTCTCGAATCCTAGGTATGCTAGATACTCGAGGGTTGTCTTCGGTTCTAGAAAGGTAGTCATGCTCCACTGGGCAAGCCAACCTTGGAGAGTGATGTGCCCAGCCTCGTTCCGGACGGTGGTGGAGGGGAACGAAGTCTCAGCCCAAGAGTGTGGGAGTCCTGGAGTGGGCGCGAACAAGGCAGCAAGTTCCCGGTCATTGAGACCTCCATCGTTGTCCTTGTCAAAAGTCAAGAAAAGATCCATGAAAAACCGGTATCCCGCTGGACTGAGTTCTGCGGACGCATAATCGGGAACGTCGAATCGTGGGTGTAAGAAACTGTCCTCCAAACTCAAACTGTCTGTGTAATGATATTTCCGAAGAATGATCCAAATCGTCTCGTGCCGCCCCTTTTCTGCATATAGCTTGTTCAGTTGCAGAAACCCTCGGAGATCCAAACCCTTGTCAGTGCTAGAGCTTGGCACTGATTTGCTGACTGTCAGCTTGATGTTGTCGAGGTCTTCTTGCGAAAGCGGCTTGTCAAAAGACTTTTGTTGGAAATCCTGCATTTCTTGATCGTTCAGGCACCCATCCTGGTCCTTGTCGGACAGGAAGAATATCCTCCTCAACGCATCGACGCAGGCGGGCTTCAGCTGGCCTTCCTTGTAGTCGAACAAGGGGGCAATGGGATGCGTAACGGCCTTCTGACACAGATAGAAGACCTCAATTACGTTCTTCTGCTCCTTTGCGCTCGTCCTGATGCACGAATCGATCTCCCTGAATTCGGCCATTACAGGAAGCATCTCTTCCTCGGCCACCTGCGCAGCATTTCCATCACTAACAAGGTCCGACTTATTGGCGCATAGTACAACCGGAACATTGACCCCCAATGATCGGAAGTAGGGCATCCAGAATAGAGCGACGCGTTCGTAGCTGTAATGATCGGAGTAGACCAGCAGGATGACGTTGGACTTTCGAATCTCCTTGCGCAAGGTGGTTCGGTCTTGTGGGCGGGCGGATGTATCAACGATGGTAGTGGTAACATTTTCGGGTGTTCCGGTCGTCGGGGGAATGGTAACTTGAGGCAGGACGGCCTGTATCTTGTTGGCGACGAAGACGCCCTTGACTAGAGAGGCAATCAAGCTGGACTTGCCGGTCCCCTCATCGCCGCAAACGCAGATTCGGACTGCTACAAAGGGTTAGGTTAACATTTGTCAGGAGTAGTGTCTATACGAAGCATAACAGAAAAAGCTCTTGTTGCTGGAAACGTCGACCTTGCGCGTGCTGGACATCAAGGGAAAGTAGCTGGAATCGTACCAGTAGACATGGTGGCGTAGACACGCAGCTGCTATTCCATGATAATCTGTACTAGCCGTCTCAATAAGCTAGAGTCGCGGTGCACTGATTTACACAGTGACGAGAATCGGAATGTTTCGTTAAATAGATGGTTCAAAAAACCAAGGAGGACAGGTTGAACGTGCAAGAGTGTCAGTGTCAAGTGTCAGTTATGCAAGCGGGCAGGTGGTCGGATGGTTTTGTTGAAATCGAACGAGCTCCAAGTTGCTCAAGCCAAGGAGTCGTCGAGGTTCCTCAAAGTGGAGAATCTCGTTTGCTCAACTGACCACTCAGAAAGAGCGCTGGTTGGGCGAATTGGGGTCGGTGGGTCCAGACCTCCCCGCCTGGCTCAGTCAAGTTGTCTGGACAACCACACTTGTTGTGTACATACACAATCGTGAGGTCAAGGTATGGGTTGGAATCCTTCTGCTACGTAGCCACTTGCTGTCGCTATTTCTGGCACGTGGGAATGTATACACTATTTGCGATTGCAACTGGGAGCGAGACATGACGAGTGACCTGGACCATGAAGCTCAGAGGATGCCAAGGTTACCGATGCAAGAGCGCTATGAAGTCCAACCAGGATCCCATGATCAGGACGATACGAAGGAACTCATTGTGATGGAATCTCTTTCCCGAGCCTACCGCGATGAGCACCGGCACAGTTACCCCAATTGTGCATCTGCAGGCGACCTTTATATGCATCCCCCATAGTCCTGTCTGCACTCTATCCGCAAGCTTCAGAGGCTGAAGTGTTTCTGTTGTACATGATAGTGAAGAGCGTGCGAGTGGTGTGGTTCCATTGGTTTTGGCACAACTTGAGGCTTCTAGAAGGGATGACAGCCACCCAACGGGGCATTACAGGTCCGGGCCGCCGCCGAGGCTCCGGACGATGTCGTCGTCTCATTCAGCCGATTTACCCCACACTTTCCGGAGATCCATTCATCCCGCGTGGTTTTCGGCCAGTAACGAAGGGTCCCAGTGGCTCCCGCCCGCGCTTCCCCAGCCTTCTGAAGCATCCAAAATGTGACACTAAAGAAGCCCCCTGTCCGTCCCAGTCCAACATCATGTCGTGCTGATAGCGTATTGGCGCGTCACTGCAGCGTACCTAACTCATCCTTGAACAATGCCGTCAATCCCGCATTCTTCGGTGTGTCTTTCCCCGGACTCAATTCCAGCCTGAGATCGTCCGTCTCTTCTCCTTCCTTTCTTTCAACTCATCCATCCAGGTCCTCCATCATCTCCCGTCCTGATCCGCCTTTTGTATATTTACAACCTCGAGCTTTCCACTTCCCATACCTGGTACTTCTTGGATACTGTTGTTATCTTCCGTTATCTCTCTTTTCCCCAGTCGAAGCTTCCACAGTCTTGGCCTCCTGCTTCTGGCTGCTTGCAAACTGCCCGTCAAGCGCCGCCCGCCACATTCAATCCATCTTGGCATCCCGCTTGCGACAACGAGTCGGCTTCGATTCTCAACCTCCCGAACTTGTCACTCGCCGAAGACACCACCACCACCGCTCACGCCCATCCATTCCAAGCCCACCCCTTCTCGAGCCTTCGATCTCTTGTAGCTCAGTTTGCCGACCACCTCCTGTTTGGGACTCTGCGTCTGCGTGCGGCAAAACAAACCGCATCCACCAATTCCGCCCAGCCGCCTCTTTAGTGTAGGCTATCTCACCGAATAGCTGTTGTCGAGATTACCGAGTCCAGCGCCATAAAGCGCATTAAGCCGGCAAACTGGAGTCCGCAGTAGCAGCCATGTTGTAAGCAAACTGATTAAGAGATACGCGCACCACCTGCCAGTTCTTGCTATACCCAAGTCAGAGGACAAACCACAAAAGGACACACCCCCACCCAAAAAAACGTAGCCGGTACAGACGCAGCACACAAGAAGCACCGAGCATGCAGGCTGATTTCACCTATTCCATCCATAGTGTCCTCCCTCCACCGCCGAGGTATCCAAGCCAGGCGGGATACGGACTCGTCCCTGGCTATGTTGCGCCCATGATAGAGACCAACAATATCCTGACGCACCCTTCAGGGCCCGAGTACCAATTCCTAGTTGGAGAGGGCCTGTACACGCTCAAGGAAGACCTGCATCTTGCAACCCCCCCACCACATCCATCCGAAGCTCCAGTCATCAATCCGAATCCGCTCGCGACCACCCCCCAACCTGCTACTGCCGGCACGAGCCTTTCCATTGTCAACCTTGGTGTACGCCCGCCACCGCCAGGCTTATTTAGGGTTGGTTCTCGAGCATATGGAGTGCAGCAGAGCATCCAAGAACATCCAGATGAAAGCCGGTCGTCTTCCGGGGTACGTGGCAGCAGCGAGGGTGCTCGCGCCGCTTCCAGCGATGCCGGCGCCATCTTCTCCAGCACGCCAGCTTTTGGCGAGGGAAACACACTTTTAGCTCAAACAAACCACAAGGACAATAAACGAAAGAAGCCAAAGAACAGTATGACAAAAAGCAACTCTTCGTTTATCTCCCGGGTTATCGTCCACGAATCTCTACACAAGAGGTTAAACGATCGACCAGCAGACGGCCTATTTGCGTTTGCCAACATTAACCGAGCCTTTCAATGGCTGGATCTTTCTTCGGCCTCCAAGGCCGACTACTTGACGAAAATTCTCTTTACTAAAGCGCATTGTCTCTGCCACGATGTCAACAGGTTAACCAAGAATTCGTCACATATCGATGTGATTATGGGCTTCTCTACCGGCGAAATAATTTGGTGGGAACCAATATCACAACGGTATACTCGATTAAACAAGAAGGTATTTGCCCCCGTAGCAGCACACTATCGGCTATTTGTCAAGCTGACACAACGGGCAATAGGGCATCATCAACAAGACTCCGGTATCCACGATTCAATGGATCCCTGGATCAGAAAACCTCTTTCTGGCAGCGCACATGGATGGAACATTAGTCGTGTACGACAAGGAGAAAGAAGATGCTATTTTCTCGCTGGAAGACGAGGCCGCCACTCGTGCCAGCGGGGACAGCCATGGTGTCCCTAACGGCATTAAGGGTTGCAACTACACCAGCCAGATCCATGTGCACAAGTCTGTTCACTCCAAAAACCAGAAAACGAATCCAGTGGCTGTGTGGAAGCTTTCAAACCATCGTATCAACGCATTCGCCTTCTCTCCCGACCACCGGCATCTCGCGGTAGTTTCAGAAGACGGCACGTTGAGGATAATCGACTATCTGAAGGAAGAGTCAGTACTCCAGCAGTGCATTTCCGACTCCCCCGAAGCTAACTTCGTCCTACTAGGTTAATTGACCTCTTTTACTCTTATTATGGCGGCTTAATGTGCGTCTGCTGGTCCCCCGACGGCAAATATGTCCTTACCGGCGGTCAGGATGACCTCATTTCTATTTGGTGTATTTCTGAATCTGCCCTCATTGCCAGGTGCCAAGGCCATCATTCTTGGGTAACCTCAGTGGCTTTTGACCCCTGGCAGTGCGACGGAAAGAACTACCGCTTTGGCAGTGTTGGCGAGGACTGTCGGTTGTGCCTGTGGGATTTTAGTGTCGGCATGTTGCACCGGCCCAAAGCCGTAAGCTTTCCATTTTCCCTCAAACTTGGATAATTCGACCTGCTTGATAGCTAACCTCTTGAGTGCAATCACAGGCATCAGTAAGACAGCGAGGATCCTCCTTCTCGTCCCGTTTTGTATCTCTCCAGAGGGCCGAAACGCAGAATACGACGACCAGTAATCGCCTGCGATCGGATTCGAACCTGTCGAGTTCGGGGGACGCGGGCGCTGCTGAGGAGACACAACCTGCGACCGCCACTCTAGAGCAAAAGGTCGAACCACATCCCGTGGAGCCGAGGGCGAGAATGGCCATGTTACCCCCTGTTCTGGTATGTGCTTGCTTTCTTATTTTCTACTACCCCTGGGTGTCCACAACTACAATGTGGGAGGGAAATCTAACGATGGGAAACTACACAGAGCAAAATAATTGACGACGACCCGCTTTGTTGGCTTGACTTCACCAAGGACGCGATCGTGACAAGTTGCAAGTCTGGTCACGTCCGAACTTGGAATCGCCCGTCAGACGACTTCTCTACGCCGTCTCAGTCCCAGCATGGAGATGATAACTAGGAGACATGATTTCATGTGCTTATCAGGTGCAATAAGGTATATGTTGATGTCATCCCCCCCTTTTTTTCTCCTCTTTTGTTTCTTTTTTTCCCTTCCTTTTATCTCTCCCTGGGAATATTTCAGAGGTTCAACAAGTTTTGCATTCTACTGGCCATTTTTTTTTCTGGTGTTACGTAAGAGGGTGAGTGAGGGAGGTGTCAAATGTTCACTTCTTGTGCATTGTATATACATTAGATCTGTAGCAAGCGATGAGGGAAAGGGGACGTTTTTGGAAACATTGTCGGTAGATGGTGGTCAGCTGCGGTCTTATTGGATACCATCAAATCGTACTGGCGCAGTCAACGAGCATCAAGTCGGAGTTCACAAGTATCTGATGACGAATCTGTGAGTAATTGCTTTTCCTATGGTTCCTTCCGTAAACCCATCCCTTTCCGATCTATTGTAAATACACAAACCCGCATGCACCTTTAAATGCTACCTTAGATTCGAAACTATCAAGTCACCCAAGCCAGTAAATGCCATATTCGTCACACCAATTTTCCTTCCACACCATCAAACTCACATAAAGTCCTCCTCCTCCGTCTCCTCGGCGTCCCTCTGTCTCGACCCACTTCCGCTTCCGATTCCCGACCCACTCGGCGACGCAAAAGGCGGCTGACCAATTGCCAACCTCGCCGCCTCATCCGCCAGCGTCAAGATATCCTTGAACAGATCCTCCGGTCTACCGCCATGGTTCCTGACAGCCTGCATCATCGGATGGTTCAGATGTCCACCGACACCGGGAACACCGGTGGCGGCGCTGTGCAGCGGCGGAAGCGCGTTCATGTACGCCTTGGTGAAACGCTCGTAGTCCGAGGGGGAGACGGAAATGAGAGGGGAGGCGAGGGAGGGGAGGGTGAGTGCGGAAGGAGGAGTTGGTGGAGGAGGGGCAGGGCCGTGGACGCGAGCCGGGGGTTGGTGGGTGTGGGTGTTGTTGTTATTGTTGTTGTTGTTGTTGTTGTTGTTGTTGTTGTTGTTGTTGTTGTTGTTGTTGTTGTTGTTGTTGTTGTTGTTGTTGTTGTTGTTGTTGTTGTTGTTGCTGGCGCTGGGAGCTGCTTGTGATGAAAGATGGTCGTGGTCGTGGGTGCTGCTGGAGGTGCTGGTGTTGGAGTTGGTGGTGATCCCGCTCTCGTTGCTAGCTGCGCTGGACGGGCGGGGGGGATATTGTTGATAGGCCGCTGGCGGGTGGTATTGTTGCTGCTGCGCAGATGAGGAGGGGGAGGAGCCGGGCTGAGCATTGTTGGACTTAACGCGGACCTTCACCTCGCCGGCGATACCGTCGACGCGAAGAGGGACAGGCTGGGTGAGTCCGCTGGCGTCGGGTGCGGGCTGGAGGTTGGGCGGTGGCGAGACGGCTACTAGGTCGTGCAAGACCTTGTTGGCCTCTGCAGAGCCGTCCATGAGCCACTTGAGGCAGATCTGCACGCGTTCGCGCGCGAACCTGTTATGGTCGTCGTAAACGCAGCAGTTCAGCAAGCTGATGATGCCATTGTGTTGGAGGATTTGCTTCTGGACCACGGGGTTGCCGGGGCCACTGCGTCCCGCTTCTGGCTGCAGGAGTCCAGCAATGATGTGGAGGATTTGGCCCTTGATGCCAGCCCAGGGGAACTTGTGAGCATGTTCCTGAATAGGGGGAGGAGGGGGTGGCGGGGGCGGATCGGCGCTGTCGTAGTCATGGGACTCCCGGTCATCGTCGTGAGGCGGAGGGGGGCGCCGGTGAGCAGAGCGGTCAGGGAGGTCAACCATGGGCTTCTTCGGCACGGCAGACTCAAGGCTCTTGAGGAGGACAAGAAGATCGAACACGGCCTCCCATTGAATAAGGCATGTCCTCCACTCGATGGGCTCATTTACCGTCATCAGCAGGTCAAGGAACTGCTGGAGACCGTCCTTGGCCCTTTCCATATCCCAGCTGTCGACAGGGAAGTCGACAGGATCGCACGTCTCATTGCGGATTTGCGCCTGAAGGTGCATGAGAGCGGTACACTCGGGTACTATGCGAGTGCGGAACTGGATGTAAAGAAACTGCAGGAGCTTGATATCCCGCAGATGTCCCTTGGAACCGGGCTGTATCGGGTCCTGAAGACGCGTCCGGAACATGTTGTTCACCAGACGAAGCAGAACAGTCTGGGCGGGCGAGATAATGTCTTTGGGAATACGCAACGACTGCCACGCAAATGGGATCAAAGCACTGTGGTGGATGGCTTCAACAATTTGAGTGGTAAGCTGGAAAATGAGAGACTGCTCACTCTTTTCCCACACCGCAATGAACACCAAGATCTCACGCAACAGACTCCTGCCGCACTCGAGAGACAGGAACATTCTGCATCTCGTCTTCTGCAAGTTCTCACCAGCCCGACTAAGTGAGATGCCTGCACTATCGAGAATGCAGGATTTCACAATCATGTGAAGTGCCTCGATTTGCTTGGGATCAAGGATGTTGGGAACTTCGGTGAGCAAGCCGCTCATGGGGCCTTCACCATACGACTCGTCATCGTCAACATCCTCGTCCTCGATCATGTCGTCGTTGTAGTCCGGTAGGTTGTAGTGGCGATCATCCCGAATTTCTCCCTCGGGGCCCTGATGATCCGGTAACTGGACATCCTCAGCGGAATGAACGGAGCCCTCTTGATCATCGTTACGAAACGAATGAGGATACCGGTTTAGCGAGCTAAGCTTGCAACCCTCAATAAGCTGGTGAGCCTTTTCGACCGAAGGCATCGAAATGATCCATTCGTCGTAGTTGGGATCCCGCACCTTGAGCCACCAGGTGTCGACTTCCCTTGACACGCGGCCGTAAAGCCTGTCTTGTTCAAACTTGTCTTGTTCGTCCTCCTTCCACTGTGGCGTGATCTTGGTCTCTTCGCCGATATCGTCGGCTCGCGGACGAACATGCGGCATCCAGTTCCACGACAAGACGGAATTTTCGGGTAGACTTCCAGGAGGGGATCCGCGAGAGCCCAAGTTCCGTTGGTAATCAACCAGTAATTGCCGAGCCTTGTCGCACATCCTAGAGTTGCGCTCGATCCAGTTCTGGACCTCCATCTTGGCGACATCGGGGCGGAAGTCGGCGAACTGGGCACCAGCATCCTGCTGTTCCTCGCCAGACTCGTCATCAAACAAAACAGCACACCAAAATGACATCTTGTTCCGGTCATTCTTGGCGATCCAGTTGTGGGCTTGCTGCAGACAAGTGATGAGGAGTTTCTTATACAACTCGGTGATCTCGCTGAGCTTGTGGCGGGCAGTCTCCTCCAGGATGTCGCCATCGTAGGCCTTGCTAGTGACGTTGACACAGAGGGTGATGGTCTGATAGAGCATCTTGTCGAACTGGGCCGCAGCGCACAGATCCTGGGGAATCTCTGGTTCGGGGACAACCAGCAGGTTCCTTGCAATGTGCATCAACTTGATCAATAATTGCAGGTCCTCTTTAAGTGACGTGTAGTTTTTTGTGATGAGAGCGGTGCTCTCCTGGGGGGTGATGCCCTTTTCGGGGTCATTAAGGCTCTGCAGAGGACCAATCGACCGCGTTGTCAAACTAGGAAGCGCGGCGGCGAAGGACTTTGTGAGCCACACCCATACTTCCACACTTCTTGACAGCGTTTCTCTGCGATACGAGTTAGTGTCATGAGCTTTGGAGGAGACATGGATTTCCTTACCGGACTTCTTTCAAGTTGTGTGTCTTTTCCAAAGTCCTGGAAATGAACTTGGTCACGTAGGACATGGTACGAGGACCGATAGCAGGATCCATCTTGAGCCACCCCTCAAAGCAGCTCATGGCCGAGGCAAAGCAGAGCTCCTCGACCGTGAGAGCAGGGCGATGGTCGGCTGGCGCAGCGCCCTCGGGAGCGGCAGGCGTCTCCATGATGATGATGTGCGGGCGACGAGCTTACACTCTGTCTTTCAACTATATTTTTGTGGTTGAAAGAACTGTATTGGATAATGGCGTTGTTGGGGCTACGAGCACCTGGATGACCAGGGTTCTTTCGAATAGTAAGCGACAAGATGCTGATGATATATTGGGCCGATATCGTGTAGATATAAAAAAGAAACGTCGGTTTATTCGCAGCAACAGAACAGCCAAATACACCAAAGCCCAATGAGTGACGTTGCAAAAGGAAAAAAGGCCCAAGCACAACTTCGGCGCTCAGAAGTGAATTCAAGTGAATTTGAAAGAAGCTCTTGAAGTTCAGAGGAAAGAGCACTGGTCATTGGTCAGCGGCAGGCAAAGTGGTTCGCAAATGGATTTTCAAAAGTGGAGAGGCATCTTCGAACTGACAAACCGCAGCGCCAAGACTTTCTGCTTGCATAAGACATTTGACCCCTGGCACATCGATGCCTCAACTCAAGGGCCCCCCCCGCATATCCATCCCTGCAGTCGGGTCCCTGGACCAATTCCTTATCTTATCGCCATCATCGAGGGGTCGGGTATCATCCGAAGAAAAAAAAAAAAAACTGGAATAGGTGATACGGCAACCGGGACGACGAAGCGATTATAGCGTTAGCGACCAGGGAGGTGGTAATGCGGGGGTCTTATTGCGTCTTCTTAGTGTACATATCTTCTCTCTTTTCTGTCTTTGTCTGCTTCTTCGGACGCGTTTCTTTCTTTCCCTGCATATATAGCCGCCCGTCACTTAGAGTATCTACCTAGTATTGGACCAATCGCCAAAATGGAGAACCTTCCCACCACTTACGATGGTAAGTCCAAGTCGTTGCCGTCTTCCTGTTGCCTTAATGGATTGATTACCATAGATATGGTTGCTCTCAGCGCCAATTGCCTTGTGTCACCACGCGCTCAGGGAGGAACAACAAGATTGAACACCAGCTAAAACTACTTTCCTTCCACCAGGCCCCGTCCACATCGCCGTCATCGGCGGTACCGGCCTCTCCAAGCTCGAGGGCTACGTCCCCGTTGCCGCCCTTAACCCCACCACGCCCTGGGGCTCTCCCTCCTCTCCCCTCATGATCTTCGAGCACAATGGGCACGCCGTCGCCTTCCTCGCTCGTCACGGTCTCTACCACCAGCTGGCTCCCCACGAGGTTCCCGCGCGCGCCAACATCGCCGCCCTGCGCTCCATCGGCGTGCGCACCATCATCGCCTTCAGTGCCGTCGGCTCTTTGAGAGAAGAAATCAAGCCCATGGATTTCGTCATCCCCGACCAGATCATCGACCGGACCAAGGGCATCCGCCCCTTCACCTTCTACGAGGGCGGCGTGGTAGGCCACGTTGGCTTTGCCGATCCTTTCGACGCCGGCTTGGCGCAGGTCGTCGAGAAGTGCGCGTCCGCGATGAAGGGTGACGGTGTCGTGCTGCACAACAAGGGAACCATCATCTGCATGGAGGGACCCGCGTTCAGCACCCGCGCCGAGAGCCACATGTATCGCTCGTGGGGCGGTAGCGTCATCAACATGTCCGCGCTCCCCGAGGCCAAGCTCGCAAGAGAGGCCGAGTTGGCCTATCAGATGATTTGCATGGCGACCGATTACGACTGCTGGCGCGACGAGGCGGGCGAGGATGTGGATGTCGCCATGGTCATGAAGTACATGGCTGCCAATGGCGAGAATGCCAAGCACCTCGTGGGTGCGGTGCTGGATGAGCTGCTTAAGCAGGATAACAGCGATTTGGTCCTGGCCAAGAAGTGGCAGGGTAGTGCCCAAGGCGCGGTCAAGTTTATGACCAAGCCTGAGGGCCGTGATCCGGAGGCTATGAAGAGGGTTGAGTTCCTCTTCCCTGGGTTTTGGGAGCAGAACTAAGTGTGTGATGTGGGATTTGAAGGTGGCAAGGTGGGGGGAAAAGACACAAGACTTTCATGAGATATTTGCCATGATAGGGATGGGACATGAATTGGGCTATAGACATGGGAGGGCTTTTCAGGATTGGGGAAAACGCGCGTGGACTTAGCGTTGTGTAATAGATAGCGGCATAGATATCCTTCTGGTTCATATATTATAACCAACCTTACGTTCCCACGAATGTGATATCTACATTGCGCTTTTCCTCAGTAAGAGCATAAATCTTCAGCATCGCCTACCGGCCATGGGCGAAGATCAAACCGTGTTCAAGCCAGTTGCTGATCGAGACTTGCTCACAACAACAAGACTAGTAGCACAAAAAAGGGGAATCATTAGGAAATGCTTTGCAACAATTGCTATGTACCTAATCCTTCTCCATACGCTTTTGACAGGTTCCTTATCCATAAATCGAACATGGAAAACCTCTAAATTGCGCCCGTCCACGACAACCTGCTATCGTGGGTATGACTTGCTGTTCTCAATGCCTTGTACACAAACGTAGCTCCACACAATCAAATATATCCTACGAAAAGACAGCCATTTTCCGACCCCCATTCTTTTATATAATTTCACTCTCACACCCATCCGCCACACAAACCAAACATTTCACATCAACAGATAAAGCGCCCTAACCGCCTTCTCCGCCACCGCTACATGCCACGGCCTGACATCCGTCTCCCGATCTACCACACCCCTCGCCCTCGCCAGCGTCCCCAGCCCGCGAAAGTGCGACAACATTTCCTTGAGGAGCTGCTCGTACACCCTCGGATACTGATGCGGCTGCGGAATGTTGATGCCCTCGCAGTGGATCACGTTCACCTCCATCGTCACGGGCACGTCCTCCAGTTTTGGGCCGCCCCTCTTGACGAGATAGCCGCTGGCGAGGGCCTGGTTGAGTTCGGTGAGCGATGTCGAGTTGTTGAGGCGGTGGGCGGCAATGACGGCCCAGGTCATGTCTAGTTGGTCGACGAGCGTTGAGTCGGCATCAGAGTCGGTGGTGGTGGTAGTGGTGGTGGTGGTGTTGTTGTTGTTGTTGTTGTTGTTGTTGTTGTTGTTGTTGTTGTTGTTGTTGTTGTTGTTGTTGTTGTTGTTGTTGTTGTTGTTGTTGTTGTTGTTGTTGTTGTTGTTGTTGTCGGTGGCGGCGTTGGCGCTATTGCTCGAGCCTGTCCCGATCGGGGTTGGTGGACCCAGACCGCTTTGGTCGGGTGAGAGAACGGACGCTTGGGGTGTGGAAGCGGGGCTGTTTGACGAGAGAGCAGCTGATGGGATCTGTATTCTTTGCGCTGGCGGGATGAGTTGTAGCGACGGGTTGGTGTCGACTGTTAGAAGCGTTAGGCTGACGTTCGCATAAGTTTCGGATTGTTGCAAGCTAGCCCAGTACTCGATCTCTTGCTGTTCCATAGGGCTGCATTTGGTGACAACGACCCGCCAATGCACCCGTGCGAAGTGAATATGGTCCATGGTGGCCTCCCATATCTGCTGTATGATCTCGGTTATAGACCTGGTGAGCGGCCTGTCTCTCCGACCGAGACAATATGACGTGGTCATCTGCCTCGTTCCTCGATAATCCGTCCAGGCGGCAGTAATCCACCGCTCGTCCACGCTTTGCGCGTAAGCAACGTGCATACATGAGTTCTCCTGGAGCAAATTCGGGGACGGGTTTGTGTTGAGCTTGAAGTCGATCGTTCGCAGAACCTGTGGCTCTAGAACGATGGCAGGCGCTGGCATAGGCCCACCAAAGAGCGTGCAGCGATCGTATGTTTCAAGACACAGCTTCATGTAATCGACAGGAGACATCACCGTCACAGTTGTGTCCGACGCAATGCAATCAAGCGGAACCAGCTGAAGGACCAGCTCACTCGTGACCGGCTTCCTGTTGTCTGCCATACACCGCTTGTAGCGCTCGTAGAGATCGTGGAAGGCGGCGCATGTTTCCACGACCGAACTTGGCCTATCATCTGGGTAGACAAAAAAGACAACGAAGTTCTTTTCCGTTATCTGGACACTCGTTAGTGCATCTGCGAGGCAGCTCATGGGCCCATCAAACGGCGACACAGCCCATTCATCACGAACAGCTGGTTGTTGGGTCGCGAAGTATGACAGAAGCCCATCCTCGAGCTCCAGGACAGTAGGGAGGATATCAAACGTCCCTAACTTCAGGGATTCGTAAACACTGCGTATCCGCTGCAAAAAGGCAGAAGCGCTATCCCGTAAGCCGTCAACGTTAGGGAACACGCAAACTGATACAATATCCTTGGCGCCTTTTGCCGGACTAAGGCCTAAACTTTCCCAGAAGCTGATGGCTGTTGGCAGCATCGAGAAGGGAGTTTCATAGCGGCGGATTTCTATATGGGGTGTTGGTATCGGGTAGATGTTTCGAGTTGACATTTCTGAACCCATCGGCTTAGCTTGTATACGTTGTGGCTGCGCCAGTGCTACCAACGGCACATCTTGTACATCTGCGTATGGCTTGAGCGAACACTCAACCGCATCGGCTAGTGACCGTGGCAGGGCCTTTCGTAGCCCTTGCATGGAGTACCGCACTGCTTTGGCCAACGTTCTGCGCACATCCTGGGGTTTCCGGCTCAAGATTTTGGGAGCGATCTGTAGCGAACCGGTCGCCACTTGCTCGGTAAGGATTTGAGCAATGGTAATGAAATCCATATCAGAACAAGAAACCTGGAGCCGTGCTGGCTCTGGATCTGCAAAATATTTGGCGATTGAAAACTCGGGCACCTCGGGGTGAGATAACCGAACCAAATCAATCGACCCATATGCAGGTGTATCTGCCACAGCACTTTCGAGGTCTTTGAAAGAAGCAGCAGTTGAGAGGACATCGTCGTCCAGACGTCGTCTTGATATTCCTGACTTGGCGAGAGAGGGTGCGTAGTTACTCTCGTCGCTCAAATCGTCTGGATCAGACGCCCAACTAGAGTCATCCGTCTCTGACGCAACTTCGTCGCGGCCTGTCAAGCTACCGCCAATGCCGTGAGCTATCCTCGCTAGAAGAGCCCCAAAGTTACTTGGAGGTTCCTTGGGAGGTTTTTCGACTCTTGTCAATAGAGGATTTTG